TTAATATCCGTTATATTACGGCGATGGATATTAAAGAGTTAGTTATTCAAATAATTAATAATTCAATAACGTAATAACATTTCCAGAACAATTTATTTTCTCGTTAGAAATCTGTTAGGTTAGAACCGCGAAATTTCGCGCCAAATAACATAGCGGTGGCGTGTTCCGTATGATCGCTCAATCTAAATTATTGTGCAAGTTGCAAACTAATCTCAATCAGAGGCGAGGCGGAGCGCGCAACTTTTTCAATAAAACATGATTATCTGCTGTGCAAAATGATCTTTATTTTAATTATAGCAGAACATTCAGTGTGATTTAAATCTCTCAGTTGCTTAACCTTAACGCATGATTGTAATAAACATTATCATTATTAATTACATATTATTGCATTATGTGAAAAAAGTTTATGTAGATATTTATTTATGCATGTAGAAAATAATGGTAATTTGGTAGTTATTTTATTCAATAATATATTTTTGATATCTATAAATAAACTTGATAAAGAATACGAGAGCAAGTTACCATTCCATTTTTTTTTTATTCTGAAACATTTCCCGTATAAAAAGCAAGAGTAATTAATGTTTAACAGTAATTATTGTTTAGTAAAATACATTCTTAGGTCCTCTTTCATTTAGTATATTCCACATAGTATCTCATATAAGAATTATGATTAAATATAATGGCAAAAAGTTCTTAAGCGTTTACTTTCATTTACTTATACTCTTTAAATTTATTACTAGGTACCTACTTATAAGATCAATTTGAAATGTCTTCAACAGTTACCAGCGTTGTGATAACCTAAATATGTACCTACAAATAATTCTTCACTGTGTTCATTAAAAATTAATCACTATTTAAAGCGTCAGGGCGCGATTCCCGAAGATGTCAATAGCGTGGGTGACTGGCGTCACGCACTTGGTTCTATAAGCAATACTTATTTTTAAATACAAAACTAAACAAAAACAAACTTACTTTTGCACTTTAAGAAGACAGTTCCTAAAATTCTCTTGAAACTTCGACCATGTGTTTAAACATTTGTTTATTATACCGTCAGATATCTACAATGAACCAAATTTTCTGTTACAAGCGATACTTTGTTCTAGTAACAGCCCTGTTAAGTGTGTATAGCAATAACGTCTACCTTCTATAACTCGAGTCGCGCTGCGGTTGCTAATTACGCGCGCTGTTGATGGGCAAACTTTTATCTAGTCCGCGCCGCGCTTGATCCGTGATTTACCGCGCGGGTAATAAGCTGGCAGTCTCCAGACGGATGTCGTCTAATGGATCGCAGCTCTACAAACTTTGTCTACGATCTCGAATCGGGAAGTGTAAATCGACTTTAACGCCCTAATGGTATCTCGCGTACTTACTAATAGTGCACGGAAAATTACGACGCCAATGGTTTCTTTGTATTTATTTATTAAAAGTATGAAACCAATGGTTTCTTTTTATTTATTTATTAAAAGTATGAAAACGCAAAAAGTTCCGTTCTATATCTATAAAAACGGCAATAAAATCACGTGTGTTGTATGGCAGCCCCATTAAAATTTTTTAATTGTTTTTAAAGATTCGTTATAGAAATACATCATCTGTAAAAATTTCAACTGTCTAACTATCTGTCCTGGTAACAGACAGACAGCGGAGTCTTAGTAATAGGGTCTCGTTTTACCACTTGGGTACAGAACCCTAAAAATGAGGTGTTCATTATACAGTCTATAGGGCTTATATTAAAAATGATTTAATTGATATTTAGTACTATGTTAAATGTAATAAAATGATGTAACTACATATTAAATGAGACGAGTCTTTTCTGACTGAATTACAAGTTTCGGCCTAAACTCAAACTGAATTTAAACTCTACCTAAACTCAAATTAGCAATTTTGGCCGAAACTAGTAATTTAGTTTCGTTTAATCATACCAGGCAAGATCATTTTGGTCGATCGATCGCGAGGAAAGCATTTAATAAGTAATTTTAATATGAATAGAGAGCGAGATATTTGAAGCCGATTCTATTTTCGTTAGTAAAAAATGGACTTGTTTTGTTCTCCTTTTCTCTCACCTCTCATTATCGTTGGCGATCTAATGTATCGGGTGAAGTCGCAAAATGGGAAGGATGGGAAGTGAATCCGTCCATTTACCGTCTTCAAAAAAGGAGGAGGTTCTCAATTCGACTGATTTGTTTTTAATTTACCTCAAAACTTCGACTGAGTTTTTAATTTGATAGCTGGTACTTCCCATGTGGTCCCATATTAGTTTAATAGGTAATAGATCATGGTCGCCGGAGATACTTAAGAAACTCTTTAAAATCAATTATAAAATGGATACAGAGATATTTGTGGTATGTTTTGTTTTTCGTTAATTAAGAAACAGACTTGACTTAAAATGTGTCATGGAAGCGTTCGGTGACGATGACGCAAGATTTTTGGGTGAACAAAAATCATAGATTTTTGTTCACCCAAAAAGTGCTCAGTGCGCCTAAAGAAGTTTTCACTTCAAAAATAAAAATCAGGTTACCCCTAAGGTACACACATAAAACTTATACATAGTTACTGAAAACATTTGAAGCTTTTATAAGAAAGATGTATATGTTTATTATGGGCCTCATGCCTCATATCAGGCTGTTGCAGCTAGGCATGTTCAATATGCTGCAACTAATGCTGCTATGCAACATCGATATATAAATATATCGACATTTTTCCATACAATTATCGATATATATCGTTGATATTTTTTATCGCGATATATCGATATTTATTTCAGACTATCGAATTCGTGTCAATTTCGAATTATTTTTAACGCAACTCTAGTTTCGTGTTTAATGTTACTAGATAATCTTGGCATGCTCCTCACGCATCGTTAACTTTAAAAACTCTTTTCAGCTATCTTCTTCATGTCTATTCTTTTGAATGGTTTGAAAATATGTATGCATAATCATGCGAAAAAATCTCAATACGATATATATCGATATATTTTTTTACTTGCCCATTCCTAGGGCACACATTAGATCGGTGTGAAGTGAAAGTATTAAACTTTCACGTTTCGACGGAGGCTTTAGAATATTTTAATTCCTTCACGATAATTTTCTTTGAATGCCGAACACGTCAAAATTTTTAAAATTACAATTTTATCGGCGCCGGTGACAGGATTTTAACTATGGTATAATCAAATCAAATCAAATCACCTTATTAACAGAAATATGGTAAGTTTTCCAATACAGATAAAACGTACAGACTTATTTCGCCTAATTGGCATGCAATATGTCATTAATTGTAAGTTGTAAGTTAGTATGTAATTAGAGTAAATAACTAAATGAATCGAAATTGCCGAAATTTTAAATTAATAACAGTCACAAAAATAAAAAATATAATAATTAAAGGCGCCTAGACGCTCAGCTATCACGGCTCACATAAATAAATTATAGTAGTAGGAGTAAAAATATTTATAATGTAGCCTAAATTTAAATTAGGCTTTACCTATCTGTGGCAATGTCTTGAAAAAATTACGAAACCGTCAATCTATATAAAATCCCGAGCGTACTGACCTGTATATATATATACTGAACTGTATACATATACAGTTCAGTACTGTATACATATACAGTTCAGTACGCTCGGGATTTTATATAGATTGACGGTATATATATATATATATATATATATATATATATATATATATATATATATATATAAAAAAAAAATGAAACAATATAAATGTACAAGTAAAATAGCGATTTATTTAGAAACATTACACATTAAATCCATAACAAAATAATCCACAAAATATACAGACACTTAAAGGTAAAAAAATAAATACAGCCAAATTTCAATTAAAAGTAACGATTTGAATAATTTAAAAGTAGTGATTGTGTGAACTACGCTCTAAATACATGTCTATTAATAATTAAATAGCAAGAAATCGCATTGGGATGACATTCAGTTTCTTTCAAGGCCTCATGGTAAATCGTAAGTAAATCAAAAGAAATACATGACATCTATTAACAGTATAACTTGTTACACCAAAAATTCGTCTCGGCGTTTTTTATCTATAATATTTTAAAGCTCTTGAAAACGTTGCGATATATACAGATTTATAGTTACATAGCACCGGATTTTAATGCAACCTTTTATCTGATATGCCCAACAATGTTTTAGCATACATATTAAATATACGGTACTTCTAATACCAGCTTAAAATATGTCTTTCACGTTTGCGGAACTTAATTAACTTAATTTGTACAGCAAAAACACTTTCTCTAACGACATTATAAAAAGAATACTTAAATAATATATAAATACATGTCACTTTTACCACTGGAATTTATGATTAAATTTAATTTTTGGTGCTAGTCTCTGAATTGGAGAGGAAACTTTTTAATGTGTGGTACAAGTAAAGGAATCACACTAGATGGCGCCAAGCGTCGCTAAAACCGCAATAAAAAATACATAAGAGTGCGGCCTTCGCGGGATTAGGATATCCACCAATTAGCTTAGCTTAGCTTTTTTTCTACCTCCAAATTCCCTAGAAATAATTTACATTGCAAAACAACGTTTGCCGGGTCAGCTAGTTTACAATAAAAGGTAAGTATGTTTGTCGGCCATCTAGTATCCATAGGACAAGCATCGCTTAGTTTGGGACTAAATTACGTTGTGTAAAAATGTATCCTTTAATATTTGTTTATTATGCTAAAAGCAAGTTTTCACGGTGGTAGGGCCAAGCAGCCTCTCGGCTGTTGCACGAATGGGCAGGCCCGTCCGGGTAAGTACCACGACCTCACAGAAGACCGGCGAAAAGCGGAAGTATAATACATTCGCGTTTCGTCTGGTGAGTGAGGTGGCCGGAGCCCAATTTTGCAAAAGGTTGTCGACCCATCTGGAACCCTCGGGTGTAGCAGATGTCCATGGGCGGTGGTATTAACTATAACTTTTCACATGAAAAATTGGCTATATGGCTTGATCTGGCTAAAGTCTTGAAGCCGTAATGGCTTCATGGTGCAAGTTTAAGCCAATGTGACGCGCTGGTTTAACATTCGCTTAGAGACCTGCCTCTGCTCGGGAGACAGCGTTTCACCCCGGAACCTCCTGTAGCTGAAGAATTATTACGAATTGCATAATTAAAACTCATATGCTATATAAAAATTAGCATAACATGTGGTACAATATTATGATTTATAACACCTTGTGAAACCATGTTATAAGCAAATAAGCAAATAAATAAATAAACCGGCCAAGTGCGAGTTGGACTCGCGTGCGGGTCGCACGAAGGGTTCCGTACCATTATCTATAAAACGGCAAAAAAATCATGTCTGTTGTACGGGAGCCCCACTTAAATATTTTTTTTTTAGTGTTTTTTGTTACAGCGGCAACGGAAATACGTCATCTGTGAAAATTTCAACTGTCTGTCTTGGTTCATGAGATATAACCTAGTGACAGACGGACAAAAAGACAGAAAGACAGACAGACAGCGGAGTCTTATTAATAATTATAAAATGGGACCATTTTACACTTTGGGTACGGGGCCCTAAAAAAGAAGTTACGTAAAGTAATAGTCAAATAATGTTAAAAAAAAAGTCCCGCTGAGTTTCTTTCACCTATTCTTAAGAATCGGCGAAAGAAACTCAAAGAAACTCTTCTCCTCAGTAAAATACTGCTACCGGCTAGTCTTCCGAAACGGTAGTAGTATTTTGACAATCAATAAGTGAGTGTAATACTAATATCGAATAAAGATATTTGAAATGAAACTCACATAGTGTCGTAGAACAGTCGCTGCTCCTTTGAGAGCGATGGCTTGGTCTCTTTCAAGGCGCTCTCCACGTCCTCTCGATGAACGACGACCGACTCCAAATCCTTCTCCTCGCTGCTCACCTGCTAAATAGAACTTACGCTTTAGAACTGCCGTCACTTGTCTCACTGTATATAGTGTAGGGCAGATGCTTTCCATACTAACGGTCAGGATCAATATCTACAGGTAGGTTTGGTTATTTGAGATGGAACTTTGACGTGAGTATTATGGAGCTAATGTGAATTAACTATGGCTAGTAAGTAAGTGTATGTGTATATAGAACATTGAAACTAGCCGTAAATTGATTTAAGCGTAGACGTCAATCGTTTTCGATGAATGACTTAGAAGATATATTGAGTGTATACAAATATTGGATCTAAAACGATTGGCGCAATAGCTTAGCGATAGACTTCAGACGCCTGGTTCGATTCCTGGGACGGTAGAGACTATCAATAGAAAAATACAAGCGTATAAAACTGTACGGAGCAGTTCTGTATTACAATCACATCAGTGAGGTGAGTGAGGTGACCGGGACCCACTTTTTTGATTGTTTGCAAAGCGGGAAAAGTTTGTTTGGAGGGCGGTAATCACTGAACAATTGCATGCACGCTTTTGCCCATTTTTTCAAAATAAAAAAAGTGCGTGCGTGCGTGCGTGCGCGCGTGCGTACACTTTGCAAGCAACTTCAATTTGTCGCTTTCTGGGGGTCGGTGCGCGCGCACCGTGGAAAATTCTCCGCATAATTTTTCCCATCAGAAATATAACTCCAAAAAGGGCGGAGACATTGTCGATCTCCAAGAGGGTAGTCACCAGCTGTTTCTCCAAGCGGCCCAGCTGCGCCGTGATCAGCAGCGACTTGAGGTCCGCCGGTGAGAAGTGCTCCGTCCTTTCCGCCAGACCCTCGAGGTCAACGTCCCCGTCCATCGGGACGTCCTTGGAGAGGATTCTCAGGATCTCGAGACGCTCGCGCTATAATTGGGACCCCAATTGATCTTTACACACTATAGAATAAAGTCACTCCCGGCGATTGCAAGCTTAGATCTTTTAACTGCGCAACGGATTTTAATGCGGTTTCAGCAATGGATAGAGTGATTCAAGCGGAAGGTTGATATGTACCTAGTATATTTGCATATTATAGTAGAGAATAGCCGCGTAATTCAATATCTACATTGCACCCGTGCGAAGCAGGGACGAGTCGCTAGTTTGTTAATAAAACCACAGTTAATTATAATTTAACATTGTTTAATGAAGTCGAAGCATGTATTTTACATATATCTTTGGAGGTCAGTATGTATAAGTTGTCCTTATTCAGTTAAGATTATAAGACTTAAGTATGAGTCTTCCAGTCTCAACATATCTGGCAAAAGAGTAGACCTGGCAGGCGAAATTGAAATCACACAGGCTAAAGTTCAAGTTTGACCTGGGGCGTGGTATAGTGAAATTACCAGAACAGTGTATACAGCAACAATGTACGCAGCAGGCGCTCGGCGACCGAATTGCAGATGATTGCAAGTTGGTGCAGATAATCTGCAGACACCGTACGGCCAATTGCGCGACAATGAGTTCGAGCGTTTGCCACTCGACCTGAGAACAAGAGGGGCGGCCAACGCGTGCAAGGCCGTACCTGCGCCGGCAGGCCGCAGTAGACGTGGCTCTGCAGCCGGCCCGGCCTCAGCAGCGCGGGGTCCACCAGGTCGGGCCGCGACGTGGCCGCCACCACGGGCCCCCGCGCGCCCCCCTCCGCCCCGTCGAGCCGCGCCAGCAGCTGGTTCACCACGCGGTCCGTCACCCCGGTGGAGTCGTGGCCCCGCCTGCGGGCGCACCCCCCCTACTAGTGGGCCTCGGCCAGTTTTTGGGGAAGGGGGAGACAGGCGAGCAAGGTCGCCCGGTGATAAGCGATCACCACCCACCACCGGTAGTTGAGCTTTTTGACAATCAAATCAAATATCTTTATTCAATATAGACGCATTACATTTACTTATTATATCTATAAGTGTAATGCTTCTATGTATAGTAAAGATATTTAGATTCCGCCCATGGACACTTGCAACATCGGTTGAGTGCACGATTGCGTTCCCGGCCCGTACATACAGGCCGAGAACGCAATGCTCTAAATCAAGACGGAACAACCATATGTGATACTAAAAGATGAAATTTTCGAAAGGTCGAAAAACAGTGTATGTCATGTTCAAAGACAATTATTATTCAAATAATATTGTGGTAAATGAGTTTCACGTTTCGTTAAGGTAAATAAAATATAACTTAGTTTTAATTACTTTTCATTGCAAATAGTTGATACAATTACACAAAACAACATAATATTGACTAAAATTTCATTAATTACAGTCATTAATAAACATTTTCCTTTTTTTACCCTGGTACTTCACCTGGTGGACCTGCCCATTCCAGCAACAGAGGAGACTAATGCGTGGCCCTAGTACGGGCTTCAGCTCATCATCATTTCAGCCTGCTTGAGTCCACTGCTGAACATAGGCCTCCCCCGTAGACTGCCACGTATTACGATCCTGAGCCACCTGCATCCATCGGCTTCCCACTACTTGCACTCACATTTAATAGGAGTACAATCACCAAGTGACTCACCTGGGCGCGAGGCTGTCGAATTCGTCGAAGAACAAGATGCACGGTCGTTTCATATCAGCCCTAAAGAGATGACAGAGATTAGTGGAGCAATAAACCGTTTATATTTTAAAAGCTCAATGCTTGGCAAAGCCCTCCACAGCATAGTGGGTACATAAGTAGTTTGCCGTGCGACTCCACCGCGTACGCACACATCACATAGCTCAGAAATCTTTTTTTTGTGCAAGTGGTTTATGTTGCAAGACTGTTTTAAAGAAAAGCAACAGCATATATCTGTCCTACATCTGGCCAAAGACTTTTAGTGCATAGTCCACGCGACCCCACTGCGCATTGGCGGACTTACGGACACGTAGCATCGAAATTCATATATGTTTTTTTAATTATTATTTCGATTATATGCACGTCTCAAAATGCTTTCCTTCAATGCTGAGCGCGTTTTAAGTTAAGATGTTATAAAGACAAAGTAAAAATGCGACACATATAAGTAATAATCTCTTAATTATAAGGTGGCAACACTACACTGGGCGTTGGAAATGTCAATGGGCGGCGGTTATCGCTTAGCATCAGGTGAACCGCCAGCTCGTTTGTCACTTTCTTACATAAAAAAGAAATCACTAACGCCCTAAAGCACTAGAATTTCACTAGTACAATATTCTTCCTATAAAATTTGGTAACTTTTTAATAGAGTTGTTTTTTTTTTTTTTTCATTTTCATTGTTAGTCTATTCCTTGTTTTTATTTCTTGTATACTAGGTTTTTTTTTTTTTTTTAATTTTTATAGACTTTATCGTCACAATATCTAACAATTGAATATCGATAATCGTCGAAATAGATTGCCTAAATATCTAAATCCACTGTGTGTCTATAACGAGAAAAAAAAACCACCGTTGCCGTTGGCTCACTTGTCGAATATGTCGCGGACGGCCCTCTCGCTCTGGCCGATGTACTTGGAGAGCAGCTCGGGCCCCTTGACGCTGAGCATCCTCACGCCCGAGAGACGAGCTAGGCTCGAGCCCAGGTGCGACTTGCCCGAGCCGGGGGGCCCGTACAGCAGCACGCCGCAGCGCGCAGAGCGGAACAGCGCCGGGTGCTGGGCCACACCCAGGCATAGTAAGGTGGTGAAGACTCCGTGGCGCAGTCGCCAAGGTATCGGCTTCGGCGTCGGGGGTCGTGGGTTCGATTCCCGCACGGGACGACTATTTGTGCGACCCACAGATAGCTGTTCAGCATCTGGGTGTTTGTCCTCGTGGAATTTATGTTTGTAAAAACGTCCTTACAACACAGGATAATGTTATCCTAAAGCGAGGGCAATGTTTTTAGCTAAAAAAAAAAATTGGCGGCCTGTTAATGTCCCACCGCTGGGCACAGAGGGTATTGGGGCTTCGCGTATTTTCGAAATATTCTTTTGTCAATTAGAGAACATGCAGGCTGTCTCACGTTTTCCTACACCACTGAACGCGTGACAATTAAGTAAAGTAACCAGCCTGTACATATCCCACTGCTGGGCAAGTGCCTCCTCCGTACAGTGCGTGTTAAGGCCCAGCCCACCGCTCGACTCTAGTGCGGTATGGCGGACTTCGCGTATTTTCGAAATGTTTCCCTTAACCGACTGCAAAATGAAGAGGTTCTCAATTCGACTGTATTTCTTTTTGTTTGTTACCTAATAACTTTTGAGCGAGTGAACAGATTTTGATGATTCTTTTTTTTTTATTTGAAAGCTGGTGCTTCCCGTGTGGTCCCATATTAGTTTCATTGGTATTGGATCTTGGGCTCCGGAGATACTTAGGGAAATTCTGAAAATTAATTATAAAATGAATACAGAGCGAGATATTTGAAGTCGGTTTTGTTTTTCGTTAGTGAAAAAATGGTTATTTATAACTTCGAGTTATATAGTTGTTGTTTATAACTTCTTGGTGGACTATGCCTTAATATCGTCTATACAGAGGAGGCCGTTGTCCAGCAGTGGGATATGTATAGGCTGTTACTTTTTTTTTACTCACCAGGATCGGCCAGAATATGGCTTCGGTGAGCACCCGCTTCGCCTCCTCCATGCCGCCGACGGGACCCCAGATGTCGAAGGCTTTGGCGGTCTCCTCGTCCTTAGCGATATCCTCAATCAGACGCGGCCTCGGCCCGTCGGGGTTGGCTTCTGCGGGGGAAAAAAGGGTGAAAAAAGTTAGTGAGACAAGATGCGGTATAATGATTAACAACTAGTCGCTACTACAGGTAAAGTTGAATCGCAAACTTTCGTACAATTTTTCGATCAAACTTGAAATTGAACAACTTTACGCATATCTCTCTGGTAACCCGCAGGACACAGGTTGAAATCCTAGCATTTTAACTACAAATTAGAAAAAAAATTGGAGTTGGATGCAAAGAGTAATAGCTCTGCAACAATGCAACATCATTTTAATAGGAATAGATAAGATAAATATACGGCGCTGCGAGATACGAAGATGCGTCTTTCGGTTTCACGGCCAGGCGCGATCCTTAAAATCCCGGAATGTATTTTATCGTCGTTGCCAAAACCACCAGTCTGATGTTGCACGAAAGGGCAGTTTGGTTAGCGAAAGAATTTTACTTTCCGTTTCGTCCGGTGAGTGGTTTCGGGGTCCGCTTGCCAATCAAAAACCGGTCAAGTGCGAGTCGGACAAATTTGCATAAATATAGGATGTAACATGTGGAAGCCGCCGTTTATAAATAATCTGATCAGGTTTTTTCAAGTTCTGTTAGTGTTGTACCCACATACGACGAAAAAGTAAATAAAGGTTTCTTTATAACTAGCACGAAAAATTAAAGGAAAAAAGATAGCATCAATCAATCCAAGTATCTGTGTTAAAATATCCACTTCTCTCTGTCTTATTATTAAAAATTTGTATGTAATGATATTTTTACAAATATACTGATATTACCACTGCTCGTAAAATTAATTAGTTTTCGGTGATAATTGCTTCAAATTCATTTCCACGTTATTATACAATTATTCAGTGTTTTAATTACGATTACAACAATGTGCAAAAATCTAGCACGACAAACTGTTTCGTTAAAAGTAATTTGTGCGTGGAAATTTATCTCCGTCGCACATGATTATTTAGCAGTCGTGTCTGTCGTAAAAATTCGAAAATCACAGTAGATTCTTAAACGAAAATCATCAATGAAACCGTCAACGCCATCTATTAGCGTTTATTTATGAATATAGAACTGTCAATTGTTATCGTCTTTGGTAGAAACCAGAGAAATATTAAAAACTTATATTTATTGTATAGAAATATTGAGTTTTTAGCTGGTAACTAATTGTCGTACCGAAACGAAAACGTGTTTTATCAATTCCATCGTCGCTTACTTTTCTTTTTGACGGCCTTGAATATCCTCCTGTTGAGGTAGTCCGTTACGTCTCTGACGCTGCTGCCGCCGGTGGCCATCGCCATCTTGATGACGTCATCGTCGTCCACCTCGAAGGAGGCGCGTATTCTGTCGTTGATGAGGTGCTTAAGAAGTTCCACCCTTTCCTCCTGTTGACAATGAGTTCCACCCTTTCCTCCTGTTGACAATGAGGGTACGATTATAATAAATTGTATTTTTACGAGAAGAGCCGTGATAGCTCAGTGTCCGGGCGCTCGCCTTTAATTCAATATACTCGAGCAACCTGAGTTCGATCCCCGGTGCCGGCACCAATGAAGTTTTTAACTTTAAGTGCTGACTTATCACGTGCTCCGCGGTGAAGGAAAACATCGTGAGGAAACCTGCATATATTCGAAATAATAACAAACAATAATATTTCGAAGATATGTGAAGTCCGCCAATCCGCAGTTGGGTCATGTGGTGGACTATACCTAATAATATACATATATATATACTATATATACTATAATATATATATATATATATATATATATACTATACTATAATTCTGTGGGGGAGGCCTATGTTCAGCAGTGGACTCAAACAGGCTGAAATGATGATACCTAATACCCCTGTACAGAGAAGGCCTTTGCCCAGCAGTGGGACATATTCGACTGTTCCTTCACGTACCTGTTCCAGTTCGGGAATTTCGAAATGCGCCGTGAAGAGGGGCCTCCCGTTGAACTCGCCAAGAGTCGGATGGAGGGACTTCATACTCATCGCGGTCAACAGCACACACACTCCAGAGGAAGTCTGCAGTAAGTGCTTGATCACTACAGCAAGCCTGGGAAGGAACGGACCAACGGATATAATGTCTCTTAAGCGAATATACATACGCTACATAGTATAAAACAAAGTCCCCCTGTCTGTCTGTCCCTATATATGCTTAGATCTTTAAAACTACGCAACAGATTTTGATGCAGTTTTTTTTAATAGATAGAATGATCCAAGAGGAAGGTTTGTACACCATAATTCATGCGTAATATAGTAGAGAAACGTTGACAACTTTAGTGGTTTCTAATGCGATGTCGATAACAAATATTCAGCATTGCACCCGTGCGAAGGCGGGCGGGTGGGTCGCTGGTATAATATAAAATACTATCCTATTTCAAGTTACTGTTTTAAATTCAATGTAAACCGCAACAGTTTTATTACAAAGGTCTGTCATCACTTAGCTAACGTAGAATTCGCTAATTGACAGTTATATGAAAAGTTTCAAGCTAGCAGGCGATTCACCTGATGTTAAATGAAATGCGCCACCCATGGACGGAAATAAGTCATCCTATTATATATTACACTAGCGACCCGTCTCGGTTTTGCGCGGGTCAATATATAATAAATATAAACCTTCCTCATGAAGAAAAAAAACCGCATCAAGATCCGTTGCGTAGTTTTAAAGATCTAAGCAAACATAGGGACAGACAGACAGCGGGACGACTTTGTTTTGTACTATGTAGTGATTTAGTGTTCGACCGAGTTTCAGTTTAGACCGAATCCGAGGAATTCTTTACGAGGATCACGTTTTGAGGGAAATTTTTATAACACTTTTACAAGAGATCTTATGTAATCGTGGCAAATGATTGTCGTGACGTAAAAAATGTCACCTTAGGTAATACGCCATATCCTGGGGCGAAGCGCCTTCAACGTTCGGCGGGACTAAGGCGTCCAAGTCGTCACATATAAGCACAGAGGGACTATGCTCCTGGCAGATAAGTATCGCCTTGCCCAACACTTCGGGAATGTCCTTCCGGCCTTTCAATGACCGGCAATGCAAAATGTGCGACCACACCGTTAGCTCCTTCTGAACGATGTGACATAACGAAGACTTTCCGGCACCACTCAAACCTGAAAATGAAATTGAAATACCATTAGAGCTTTTCAGTTTCCTATTTAACCGACTTCGAAAAAGGTGGAGGGTTCTCAATTCGACCGTATATATTTTTATTTTTTTTTATGTGTGTTCGCGGATAACTAAGTCGTTTATGAACCGATTTTAATGATTCTTTTTTGTCGTAAAGGAGATATCCCAAGGATGGTACCATGGTAAGGAAACCCGGATCTGAGGATGGCATCCCAGAGAAATCGACGGCCATTGTTGAATGTTATAGGCATTAACAATGTTTTTAATTAATTTTCTGATTAAAGTTGGTTTTTTTTTTTGCTAAAAATTATTACGTACATAATTGAATAAGGTAAATTTATGTATAAAGAAAAAGTCAATTTAGAATGGCAATATTTTGTATATAAATGCAACATAATAAGTGCCACCTTATATAGAACTTATCTACTTATCTACTAATCAATCTAAAAAACACATTTTAAGATCTATCTTGAGTGCAGAGATTACCACCAAAAATAAAACTAATCACAATCCAATTTAATCAAAATCTTTCCTTGGAAACAGAATTATTATTGTAGTAATTGTTAATTAAAGTTTAAATAACTTGAGTTTTAGTAAAAATAAGTGAATGTTATTCATTATTACCTGTTTACTGTTTTACGGTTTACCTATTAACTGTTTTACGGATCTTATCGTGTTTTAATGAGATTTTTAAACATTTCAAATCCTTTCCAATGACCATGAACACTATGTTCACAACAGGTTGATTGTGTTCATCCATAAATGGCAATGGCAGGCATACATAAATGTCTAATTTTTATAATTTACTTTTTTTTTAAATGCCATTGGATAGCTTTTTAAATATATTAAACATTTATAACAGAAACTCACCAGTTATAAGTACATTGCTCTTAACCTCTGAAATACCTTTGAAACTAGCTTCTCTATGTATCTCAAATTGCAAATGCAGCAAGACTCTCTCAACCAAGTGTTGGACAGATTTCATACTTCTACAATAATTTTTATAATCATACTCTAATCTTGACACAGTTGGCTTTGGAAGCACCAAATCTGTATCACTTAGGCACTTGGCGGCTACAGTGCATTGGCGAAAGGACTCGGAATTCAGCATTGTATATCTTATATTGTCTGGTTTAAGATTAAATTGAAGAAAACCAGCAGAGATTTGAGTGTTTTGCTTAACCATGCTGTGATTAATTAGAAACTTTTTGCCCGAATGTGTGTTATCAACAACACATTTCTTAAATTTTTCTATAACATCAATTTCACTCTGAGCTTTCTCCGAATATGTTACAATATCTACATGTTCGGGATGTTCTACTTTATCGCCTATTATGTTAAATATTATCTTCGCACCGTTTTGTATGTTAATTATACAATTTAAAGCTCTTGGTATTAGTGCTGTTGGTATATTAAAATTGTAAACCTCTCGACAAAGACTTCTGAAAACAACATTGTCTACAGGCACTATTTCCACACATATACCATCGATTTGGTTGTTACTAACATCATTCTCATCATCCATACTGTCTTTTACAATGGAAGGTATGTGTTCCATAGTGGCTAGTATAACAGTCAAGTCTTTGTACTTAGCATCTATTAAATCTTCATGGACAAATACAATATAAGGATGGATCAGATTCTTTTTACCATCACTGTCAATTGGTAAAGCTCTTAAAATTATTTTCTTTTGAGTATTTAAATATGGCTGCAATAGAGCATTGTTAATTGTACCAATGCTATGAAACTTTGTGTCTGTATCTTTTGGCAGATTTGTGGGATGTGGCAGAGTACTGTGGAAACTGTTGAAGGCATCAATTTTAACAATCACTCTGCTGTGATTTACTATAATACCAGTTTGCTTTGGTATGAATATTATTGGCATGGATGTTGAAATCCAGACTATAGCCTTTTGGTTTGCCACTACTAGTCTAAGCTGATCCAATATTCTAAGCTGCAGCACTTCCACATTATCTTCCTGTTAAACATACTATATATGTTAAAATGCAATGTGAAATTGTATATTATACTAGGAATAAGAATTGTTAATTACGTAATTATACATCAATCCTTATTACATCTAATTTACAAATTGCGCAATACAAATTAACCTAAATAAAAACAGCTAATTTACTATGCAGTATTATGTTTCAAGTTGTCATACCAGTATCTCCTGATCATCTGGACTGTCAGTGTCTATATATATTTCATCTAAAACCTTTACATTGCTATATGGTGATATAAAAACTTCTGTGCCTTCCTGCAGACCTACAAGCCTGCAGTAAATTGGATTGCAAGCCATGTAACCTTCAGGAATGTTACTGCTGAAAACCACCCACAGATATATCTGTTTCTCTTTCATCATAACTTGTACACATTGTGTCTGAAAATGGTAGAATTATTTGTTATTATTTATATTAAACCATATAATTAGCCAATGGGAAAGAGAAGTTCCCAAAGGTGACCATGATCCATAAGACACAGCAATTGTTGGCCTCCCACTAGGTGATAAACAGAGTGCAAATGTTATTGTGCAGTTAACTGCGGAATTTTTGCCAAAAATGAAAACATAATCTTATATTCCATTAATTTCTTCCTGTTTTTTTCAAGTATTTAAATTTGTTTGGTATATCGATGTAAAAAATTGCCAGCTAAAATTATACTCTCAGGACTACCACAATAAAATACGTTTTATTTTTATCAAGTTGTAATAAATGCTTTGCATATAATTAAAAATATGATTACCTGATCGTTGTTTGTACTGTACTTTGGACTGATATAAGCAAAACAAGATCTTTCGTGAGTATACGATACTTTAAGCCGTACACCGCCTAACATTTTGTATTTATTAAATGTATATAAGTATGCACAATAATATTAAGTACAGTGAAATTTAATTTAGTATGTTTTATATAAAATTGATAAAAGACTTATGTACCTATACAACGAATTTAAAGTTTATTGTTAGGTACTCAAACTCAAATGTAAAACATTAGACAGCTTGCCTAAATTATGACACTGACTGCCACTTGACAGATTTTTTTCTTGATTACAACGTTTGACAGATTGAACAATTACGTTCCGTGAGAGTAAACTTTATATTCTAAACCATTTGTTAGGTTGAGAAAAGCTTACAAATGGAAAAGTTCCGTTCGTTGTGGCGTTTTAAAAGAGACCTTTGTGGAGACCTTTGCCCAATAGTGGAAATCTTCATTGATGATGATGATGACGAAAAGTTAGCTGTTAGTTTAAGCTTAATATTTCGTTGGAGAATGTCCATTGGGACACAAATCACACAACTTGTGATTGACTCAGTATTTGAACAACGTAGCTGGTGCATGATGCCACGATTATGCCTTCCACTCCATTGCATCTTCGTGAACTCTATTAACAAAAGAGGTACTATTGGAATTCGGAAATAACCAGTGAGGTATGAGGCCTCTCACTTGGACTACAATCGATAGTGGATCTTATCCAGGGACAGTAATAAGATCAAAATAGAAATTTAATCATATCCCACTGCTGGGTAAAGGCCTCTGTACAGAGGGTATTAGGGCATAATCCATCACGCTGCCCCGTTCTTCAAAATAGTTTCTTTTTGTTATTATTTGTAAAATATGTAGGTTTCCTCGCGATGTCTTCGTTCACCGCTGAGCACGTGAAATTAACAATTTATGAAAATTATTTATAAAAATGTACAAGAAATTACAAAAACCGTTCAAATTTAAAAGTTGCAGAATCATGAATTTAAGTAAGTGATTTAAAAGGTGCCTGAAACACGAGAGTATCGTGTGTAAGCTGCGAACTGCGAAACAGGGATCTTGTGTTCGCTGGCGGATGGTTAAACAACAGTTCAATTTAAGACTTTATCTATGGCTGACGAGTCGTTGGAAGGCAAAAAATATTATATTTGACTATTTTAATCTTAATTTAAAAAATAATTATCTTATTCATCCCCAAACAATTTACTTCCTTAGTGTAGGTGTTAATCATTTATTAGATGAAGTATATAGTTTACGTGATGATACAAACAGTATTTATTTTATGATTTTTTTTGTTATTAAATAAATTTCTAATATTTTATTTGATGTGATATATAAGATTTTTAAACTTGAAAATACTTTTAACTGACACACAACATTTCTTAAACGGAACGTGTTCAGCTGCTTCACGCACATTGGCCAATCATAGGCCAATAGAGTTTTAAAGTGTAGCAACGGTTTTTGTAGAATGTTCATTTCGGTTGAGAGTTAAAATAACGTATTGAAATATATATTTAGATTATTTTACATTGCCTGATAGTCGTAGTGTTGTGCAAATAAATTTAATACAAAACGGCCGCCACCGTCTAAAAACCGTGAGTATTATTTCTTTTTTAGAATTAAAATGACGCTCTATATAGGTACTCCTTATTCACTTGTTTTGCCTCCATTTTTGATCGTTGAACTTCTCAATTTGAAGTGATAATGGCTACAAGTTTTGCAAAGTAAGAGGAAAGCGTAATGCTTGCGTACTTTATAGCACCGCAATAGCATTAAAACTTGATTTTGGTGGTGTTTACAATTCACACAGGAACGTGATGGCGCCAACAAGGTTGGCATCGAAGCCAATCGGCGCCAATGAGAACTTCCACGGTATCATGAATCACGGAATAACGACGAGGAGTAAGCAAATGGCTACTCTGAAATCATACAAAGATAGCCTAAAAGGAACAAACAAGAGGAAAGCAGACAGTCCCCTGAAAGACATGACGGCTAAAAGGGCGGCCTTCGGGGACATAACAAACGCCTTCAACAAATCCTGCGCCGCCAACGATAAAGACAAAGTCATGGCCCTGAAAAAAGTTACGGTGGAAAGCAAAATGCTCCCAACATTAAAGGTTATTTATTGCCACATTTTTAGCATGATTTTTGAGGGTACTTAAACTTAAAATATTTTTTCTCTTTCAGTCATATAGATAACATAATTAAACTTGTTACCTGGACATGATGTATGTTATTTATAAATTGTGAGGTCAATGAACTTTCCCTCCAAAATCTGAAGAAATATTTTTTTTATATAGACATGCCTACTTGTACTCTTTATTGTAAGAGATATATTATTTTGATTAGAATGCCATATCTTTAAAGACAATTTTATATTATTTTTATGAAAAACATTTATGAACTGAGAGCGACATACAAATTTTAATTTTCTCATAGATGTTTGTTTTTTGCTAACTATAGCCAAATAAATTAATTAGTATTAAATTTCTTCTATAGATGTATTATGACGGATTTTTATTTATACAATATAATTATTACAATACATATCAATTACAATATATTTTTTTTTAATATTTGTAGAGCATCAAACCACAAGCCACTGTACTCAATGGCAAAACATCCAAGACCAAGCAATTGCAAAAAGTGGCAACAAATGCTCTGGAGTCTGTTCAGAAACATTTTGCCAAAGATCCACCCAAGCCTGTGGCAACAAGGGCTCAAAATGGCATCCTTAAGAATATTGAACGGAAATCACTGGGCAAGGAAAATAGTCAAAACAACAGCCAGAGCTCTGTGAAATCTGGCAGGAGTGATGTCTCTGGAGAGCCTTCCCTGTATATGACTGCATTAGAAAATATGTGAGTAGTATTTATGTTTTCAATGTCTGATTTCTTGAATATTTTGTTTAACATGTTATTACATTGTTTTTACTTCTTAAAATGAATTGTACATAGGTATGAGTATCAACTAAGGTTACTTACAGAAGTTCAATGCATATAGACAAACCATTAGTATTTTATACTGTTGTCTCTTTGATAGTTTCAATTAATTAACTGGTTGAAAAGACCCTTTAATAAGTGAGAATTCCATTGTCCTTGATAATAGTTAAATATGATTGAACAAATTAGTTAAAGGTTACGGATTGTAAGAATTGACATGAACATTATTTTGTATATTAACATTATTTTTCTAAGTCCAAAGAAATTGTTATTTTCCCATATCCCAATAATGATCCTAGAAAGTATTTTTTTTTTAAAAAAAAAGAGTTTCAATTGACTTTTAAGGTCATATAAATGATGACTTGGTGGCGAAGTTGCTTAACTATTGGTCCCGGGTTGTGGGTTTGATTCCAACATGGGACTATTACTTGTGTGACCTGCAGATAATAGTTTTGAGTTCCGATTTAGGTGTTTTCCAAGAAGTGTTGACATGAGACAGGAGGTTGGTTGTAACCTAACCAACAAATTTACAACATAAATCACATGTCGTGGCAACCCTCCCTAAGTGAGATATGGGCAGGAGAATGAAGAGTTATTATTTATATTTAAGTTGCAGATTTTTCGCTTAGGTCGTTTATCTTCTAAAGATTAACTACCACATTACCGCCACGCCGCTGGCACCATTCCAAAGGACAGCCTTTCGAATTATCACGTTAATTAGGATCAAAAATAAGTAGCAAAAATCAAAAAAACAATTCGAAGTAAAACATGTTTCGACGCGCTCGCAGGCGGCGGTTGCGATTTGCGCGCGAAGCGATTCAACTGTAAAGCCTCGTCACACATACATAGCGACTCGCTGCGATTTGGCATTCGCAGCAAGAACACTGTAGCCTCGGTCACACAGTAAATAATGAATGAATGAAATATTAAACTGGCGGCCTAATCGCTTAGAAGCGATATCTTCGAGGCAGAGGATACAATGACCAGTGAGAAAGGGTTTCAGTGTACGTTATTCTACATATAAATTACAAATACTCCGCTGCTTTTAAGGAGTCGTAGAGAAAAACTCGCTGTTTGTGACATATTATTCGCTTCCAGTTGAATTCGCCGCGATCAGAATTGTCCATGTTCAATTTTACTCTCTTTGCGAATGCTCGTTCGCCGCGAAATTCGCTATGTGTGACAGCTAAGCTCGCTGCTCCAGACTACACGCCCGTGCTAGATTCGTTTCGTATGGACCAAGAGCCAGCGCAAAATGATGCTCTGAATTTATTAGAGCGATTTTATGCCAGTTGGTTATCGTAGTCGTGTACACACATACTGCGGTAAGTCAAGCGTGCAACTTATAACGGGCGTCTCCATATCACCAAACGTGATATGGATTTACTGTTTATAGTCAATACATCTATAATATGGCTTTGTCAGTCAGTCAGTCAGTCAATTATTTGTGATAACAGAGCTGGAACGGAGCTGGCGGTTAGCACCAATGATGTATAATAAATAAATAACTTGCAATTTATTTTTAGGATTTGAAAATTTTTCTAATCTATCCTTACTAATATTATAAGCGCGAAAGTTTGTATGTATGGATGGATGTTTGTTACTCTTTCACGCAAATACTACTGAATGGATTTTAATGAAACTTTACAATAATATAGCTTATACATCAAAATAAGACAAAGGCTATAATTTATATACATATTTTTATGTATATCTGTGTTTCTGTCTGAATGTTACGCCTTCAACCTATTTTACGCAGACGTAGTCGCGGGCAGCAGCTCGTAATAAATAAAATGGTTAGTCGGCGGTGTTGTAGAAAATCTGCTTTAGTATTTTCAGAGCGTTTTTTTCCCTGGCTCTTCGTCTAGTATTTGGGCCACCCATCTGTCAAAATTCACGGCATTCAAAGTCGACCGAGATTTAAACGAAGCGTCGCGCAAATTGCCAAATAACCCCGACACCGTCATCGGCTAGGCCTGGCCTACTAGTCTACCTCTAAAACCGACTTTGACTATTCGACTTGTCGGCCAAGTCAAGATCTTTTTGCTCTTTGAGTACAAAGAACAACTAGGATTAGACAAACTTCGCATCATGATTTGTTATGGAATCCATTCCTCTATAACTTACGATTTGTACGAGAGCTAAAAAAAAGAATTCGCGTGTAATTTATGGCTTCTAACGGTAGTGTAACCAAATTAAGCATATTTACGGAATGAAAATAACACCCAACACTTCTTTGATTTCCTAATTGTAGACAATCGATTAAAGAGCTGTGATAGCTCTGTGTCCGTGTGCTTGCCATTAATTTAATATACGCGAGCAACCTCAGTTCGATCCGGTGTCACTAAATAAATTGTCGATATAAAAGTGGCGCGTGGTGGACTATGCCCTAATCCCCTCTGTACAGAGGAGGCCTTTGCCCAGCCGTGGTTTATGTATAGGCTGTTACTTTATTATAAACGAACATTACTAGCCGAGAACTTCACGCGGTTCTTTCGATGGGAATTGGCGGCAAAGACGCAGTCTGTTTACTTGCGGCTTTCATTGCACCCGTGAAGTTTCAGGTGCATTTTTTGACCTGATGTTGAGTTATAATTACCTATTGATAATTATAACTCCCGTAGGATTGCCACCTTATAATAAAGTGGGCCCCGGCTACCTCACTCACCGGACAAAAGAGAAGTATAACATTTCCTCTTTATGCCGCTCTTCTGTGAGGTGGCGGTACGTACCGGACGGTCCTGTCCATTTGTGCTACAGCGAAGACTATTTCGTGGCCCAACCACCGCATCGCCAACCGTTACCTGTTAAAGGGCACTCTCGTTACTTCACTCAAGAGACAATGCAAAAGTACGTACATGTACTTTTACATACACACGACGACCCGAAATGATTTTTTGACGACCCGAATGGCGTAGTGGGTAGTGTACCTGCCTCCTGCGCCTGAGGATGTGGGTTCGATCTCCACTACTGGAAAAATATTGTGTGATGAACATGGTGTTTTTCTAGTGTCTGGGTGTTTCTATATGTATAATCTAATCCTTTAAACGAGCAATTCTTGTATATATATATATAATCGGAATCTCGGATACTGCTCCAGCGATTTTCATGAAATTTAGTATGTGCGTAGATTCGGGGGCGAAAAATCGATCTAGCTAGGTTTCATTTCTAGAAAATGTCCTTTTGTTTTCAGGGAATGAAAAATATAATTCGAATATGACAGTAAATTTCGCCGCAAGAGAAAATGTCATAGTAGCTCGGTCGGTAATCGGGCGGCCTCAAAACAGACGGCCGTGGTTCGCGTCACGATGATTTACACATTTATTTTTTTTACTTTTTTTTTCTATTCTTTTTTGAAAAACATCAGTTCATATTTTCTTATTATTACGTCGGTAAGATCGAAAAATATTATGCATATTTCATTACTCAGTAATTTGTATCTAAATGTAATTTCCAAAATACACGATTTACCAAAAACAAACAAACCGAGCAAAGCTCGGTCCTCCGGGTACTATGTATTTATTTACAAAAGAAAAGCATGTTAAGTATGTTTATCAGTTTTCTAGTACCCATAGTACAAGCTTTGATTAGTTTGAGACTTGAAAATGTTGTGTACAAAAGTAAAAATATTTATTTTATTTATTTATTTACACGTTTATACACACATTTTGTCCTTTACCTTGTTCTTCTACTATAAGTGCCATTTATACAACCGCGTTGAAACTGATGCGTAGCTCCACAATTGTTAGTTAGTTTAATCAATTCAATCTAGTTTCTCAATATGACGAGTCAGAAACCCGCATCGTGTAATTTTTTTTGTTTACGAGGGGTCAGCGACTCTGGCAAATAAATTTACATAATATATCCGCTATCGTCGCTATATATGGCGTCTCAGTCTGTTACGAAATCGGCCGTTACACGGAGTGTGTAAGAAATACGTTTAGTATGTTTATGCTTGGGTGCAAGGCGATTGTTTTCTGTTATCTTATCTATGAAATTTTTAAACGTTACACGAAAGTGCTGGCTGGATATAATAAAAGTAAAATTATTCAAACACATCCACATATTAATTCGTTAAGGGTCGTTTTCAAATTTAAAAAAGGAACGATTTCGTCCAGTTAAAATTTGTAACAATTTCTTCTATATTATTTTGTAATTAGATACATTATCTATATTATACAAATAGATGACTATCAAATATAAATAAAAAAAAAAACTGAAGTTTTTGATTGACACATGAGCAGCATAATAAATTTTCCTAATATTTTGTGATCTACTAATGAGATGTCAGATTACAATAATGATAGTAATATTTTTGTTATTCATAACTTATACAAAGTTACTAAATAATATTATAGTTTCGGAATTATAAATTTAATTATTTTAAAGCACTATTCATTAGTATAAATCTTGATTTCAGTCTTCTTTACTGACCATGAAGACTAAAGTCTCCGAATGAAAGAACCAATGAGGACGGCAACTAAAAATATTTGTAAAAAAAAGTAAAGTAACAGCCTATACATGTCCCACTGCTGGGAAAAGGCCTCCTCTATACAGAGGGTATCAGGGCATAGTCCACCACGCGGCCCCACTGCGGATTGGCGGACTTCACATATCTTCGAAATAAATATATTTTTTTGTTTTTATTTCGAAAATATGCAGGTTTCCTCACGATATTTTCCTTCACCGCGGAGCACGTGATAAGTCAGCAATTGAAGTTAAAAACTTCATTGGTGCCGGCACCGGGGATCGAACTCAGGTTGCTTGAGTATATTGAATTATAGGCGAGCGCCCGGACACTGAGCTATCACGGCTCTAAAATATTTGTAGAATTTTTAAATAGGTAATTGACAATTCTAGGTCAACCGGAAGTGCCCTATAGGTTTTACGTTAAAAACCTATATGGTAGTTCCCTTTAACCTAGACAAAATTTGGCGAAAAGCCAGCACAAATAAAGGAAAACTTCCGCAAAATAAAAAAAAATGGAATTAAGGTAAATTTTTTTTACTTACCAATTTTGGCGAGTATCTAAATTTGCCCATATCAACTAATGTTATACGGTACGGCTAGTCAAATGTTATACGGTATCAACTTGATAGGTCCACCAGTTCCTGAGAAAACCGGTGATGATTATTTACCAATTATTTTGTTGCGTAGTATTCTCCGGTTATACGGTTATTTATGTATCATCGGTTATTGATGTAGACATCTTTATCCTTTTATCTTTCTTCTGGGTACCAATAAACTGTCGCCATGAGTTTTCCGGCCCATTGGGACACCTTAATTTTCTTGAGAGGCCCCTTTTTATGCCATCGTATGGAGCCTTTCTTAATTCGATTTATTTCAGTACATAATCATTGACTTCACCAGAAAGGTTCAAAAATGCTTTAGAACATTCGACGCGCCGTTATTTTTGCGGCACCCTGAACATTCTCGCCACCCACCGTGCGCTGACCTTAGCAAGCTGTTATCAAAATTCTGAAATTGTATCGGAGACTTCAACTGATTCCTTACCTCAATTAAAGTTCTTCCCACTTGTACACAAAGGTTATTCCAGGGCGAGAGTCCCTATAAAACCGACGATAGCTCTTCCATTATAATTTGAACAGATTTTCCTTGCTTATTAAAAAATTTGATGACTGCACTATACTCGATTTTCTTCATTTGTCAAGCTTTCTTCCAAGTTAAGTTGCTTATTTATCAATACTACGAAAATAATGACACAATTGTGACAAAACTTTATATTTATACTAATTATGAGTCATTGTCGTTTAGCCCTTAATAAGATTGTTACCTCCCCTCCAAAACAGCCATTCCGCGAACTGAAAACGCGCCTTCGTTAATTTTGAACATATTTATTAATGTTGACCTACTAACCGACTAATTCATTTGTTTCCATGATCTCCAAATTTTGGATAAATACCTAATACTTTAATTAAATTATTAATTTAATTGTAGAAACCAATGTTTTTTCATAACAAAATAAATCGAAATTAAATTATGTAACATACAAAATATGTTAATTCTGATTTTACACAGCAACTGATAAACGTATTTAACTGTAATTCGGACCGATAAACGCTGGTTCAAAATTCAAACATCGATACTTTTAATACGATAATAGTAAACGTACACCGACGTTAGTTCTGATTATGCGCGAAAGAATTAAATGAATATTTGATAAACGACCCAACCACCGTTTACAGTAGCCCCACCGACGTCACAAAGGAGGAGTGTAAAGCCATCAGCGAGAAGTTGAACAAGGTGAATCTAGACGAGTCGGTGAACCGGTCTCTCGACGTGGAGACCGAGACTCCGCACCGGGCGCCCGAAGGAGTCACCGATTTCGACCAGGAGAACTGGAACGACCCGTTCCAGGTGTCTCATTATGCCATGGACATATTCAACTACCTGAAGGGCAGAGAGGTGAGGCGCTACGGCACACTGAGGAAATAATAAGACACTGAACAAGCGTTAACATATTAAAATTTGTAGAAAAAAGGAACGAATAGTTTTTCAGCCTCTGAAAATCGGACCCACATCATGCATTATCGCGAATCTATCGCTTACAACAGCTGCCCTATAGATGAGGGCGTCGTCTTGCGTCAAAGTTGTAGGTTGGATTCCAATAAAGAATTGTCACTCAATAATTTTACAATTTATCCATATAACTTGCTATATTCTTTCTTGTTTAATAATCTCCCAACTGAAAATTTAGTACACTACAAAAGTCAATAACTTTGCCGGTTTAAAGTAATCGAGAGTGATTATTTTTATTATGACGGTTCCTTTTTGACCTTTTGAGGTACAGAACCCTAAAAAAGGCCAAATAAATGTATTGGATATGAATTAACTTGCGATAATTAACAGTTAGTGAATGCCTTTCACACCATGCTATATTCCATACAACCAACCGTTTCGTTCAATTTTAGCGCCTGTTTGCCATTGACGACTACCTGCAACGGATGAAGGGCATCACGTCGTGGATGCGCGCGCTGCTCGTCGACTGGATGGTGGAGGTCCAGGAGAGCTTCGAGCTGAACCACGAGACCCTGTACCTGGCGGTTAAGCTGGTGGACCTGTTCCTCACGCGGTCCACAAAGAAGCAGCCCGAGAGCGACCACCTGACCAAAGAGGAGTTGCAGCTTCTGGGCGCTTCGGCCCTGTTCATCGCCTCGAAGTTCGATGTGAGGAGTATTTTTACTCGACTCGTTCTCATGTCACACTACGCCGTGGAGTCATCCAAATGGAATTCGAAAACAAATCATAATCATCTTTATTTGCAGAAATATGGTAGATAAAGATTTTCAGTATAGATAAAAGTAAAGACATATTTCGCCTCATTGGCATGCAAATATTTCACAAATAAATAATATAATTAATACAAACACAATCTAAGTCAATCACCATACTATTAATTACCATAAATTAAAACAAAATGAACAAAAATTGTCGAAATTTTAAGCAATAACAAATTCTTTTAGTTCGGAATATTTTCCGTTCAAGCCGTAGGTAGAACTTTATGATTTGGGTGACCCATCCTTTTTCAAGCGACTTCAAAAACGGACGAGGTTCTCAATTCGACTGTATTTCTTTATGTTTGTTACCTCAGAACTCTCGACTGAGGGAATCGATTTTGATGATTCTTCTTTTATTTGAAAGCCAGTGCTTGCAATGTATTGGATTTTTGGCTCCAGAGATAATTGGGGAACTCCTGCAAATCAATTATGAAATGAATACAGAGCGAGATATTTGAAGTCGGTTTCGTTTTTCGTTAATAAAAAATGACTTGTTACTGTGAATACTTGACCCATTTCTATTAAGAAACATAAGAAATGGCGTTAGAATGGGATAAAACATACCCTAAACTGCTACGCTAGTAAATTATTTAACCTCTCAATGTCCTTATCTTACAGGAGCGGATCCCGCCGCTCGTCGATGATTTCCTCTACATCTGTGATGGAGCATATACTCTAGGACAGTTGTTAAAGATGGAGATGAACATTTTGCGCGTGATCGACTTCGACCTTGGCATACCGCTATCCTACCGTTTCCTCAGGAGATACGCGAGGGTAAGTATAATACAATTTACAACCTCCCTCAACATAGTATCGTTTTAGTATATATTATCAAATACTGTCAATGTAAATTACTGTGCTCAATATAAGGTTGTCTAACTAATGTATCCATAAAGAAACTGAACACAAATGGACCATTAGTCCATTTGTGTCCGTATATTGTGACCATTAGTCCATCATGGACGAAAAGTTTTTCGTCGCTTTGTGAATCGAAACCACTAAGCTAAACTGCTGTTTGCCACATGGACGAAAATCTTAGAATCACGACAAACAGTGGTACGGACACTCACTCAGGTACAGGTCCAGATCAAGTACAGTTACAGGTCCGGGCTAGTACCAAGACCTCACAGAAGACTGGTGTGAAATAGAAGTGTTACACTTCTGCGTTTCCTCTGGCGAGTGAGTTATTAAAAGGTGACAACGCATCTGCTACCCTACGGGTATTGCAAATGTCACGATTGATAGGGTCGTCCGCTAGGCCAATAGGGTCGCCAAATCGGGATTAATTGTGGATTGTTGCTTGCACAGTGCGCTCGGGTGTCGATGCCGACGCTGACTCTGGCGCGGTTCGTGTTAGAGCAGTGCCTGCTCGAGTACGGTCTGCTGTCTCACTCGGACAGCAAGATGGCCGCGGCGGCGCTCTACATCGCGCTGCGCATGAAGTCGCTGGGCACGTGGACGCCCACGCTGCGCTACTACACAGGTGATTGCGATCTCTTAGCTTTTTGAAGTGGGACTTCTTTATGCACGTTTTAGTTAGGGAATAAGCTGGCGAATGCGTGACGAGAGCGTTACGAAAAGTGTGATCGGGCGAGGAGAACGGAAGTTAAACGGAAGGATAGAAATAGAGAGTAACGCTTCGTATATTACTGTAGGCGCAAAAGAGAGAGCGTGCGCACTTTTTCTTTCTCTCTTCCTCTCATAGCCCGTGCATGATCATGCGCGTTCGCTAGCGTAATGCGTATTATGATTTCTTGATTATTAATTTATCAATGAAAACCCATAATAAATATAAATATATATGTATAAGAAGATCACGCCACAGCGCTCACTCTGGTATAAAAGGCCTCGTTCTGTGGTCATCCGGGCATTAATTGTGTGACTATAGAAAAGTGCAGTTGTTATTTTCTTTCATTAATTAATTGGTTTCGTACCAAGTTCTTATAATTTTTTAATAAATACAATAATATCCCCCATCACACATATAGATGGTGCTAAAGAAGTGTTACTTAAGTTGTATAGTGTAAAGCACACACGTTTTTTTGTATTTCAAATGTGGCATGATCACCGCTTGTCTAAAAGAGATGATTGATTAGTCTCATCAATCATCTCTCTCACTGGACTTTTGCAAAGGTATTACAAACAAATTCTGGATATTGTTTTATAAACATGAATTATTGTCGCAAAAAGCTAACAACGTATTTTTATATAAAAATACATTGATATTTCTTATATTAAAATAAGCTATCCTAATTGTCAATCAATAATGTCATCTAGGACCTAATTATGAGAGTATTAAAAACGGTAGATTGACCGACGACTCAAATCAGACTTACTATAGAATTAATGTTGAACATTGAAGAACTTTTCGGCTCATAATTGTCCATTTTTCTTAAGTCATTATGTACCTTCAGCACTGCGTAACGGAACATATTAACTTAGCCAAGTAGAGACATACTTATAATTAAATTAAATCTTAGATGTTTACAATATTCTCCCTTCTCCAGGATACACCTTACAAGACATTCTACCCGTGGTGCTAGAACAGAACGCGGTGTTACACAAAAAGCCCAAGTCCGCTATCAGCACAGTTAGGAATAAGTATACGCACACAATATTCTTTGAGGTGGCCAAGGTGCCCCTCATCGATGACCAGGCGCTGAGGAGCTGAAGAACGCTTAGTGGCACTTTACATTCGATCAAAAGCATTCTAAGGTGGGTCCAGATTATTTAATTTATATCCAAACGGCTGTCAAATGTGAAATTGTAATAATATGTTGCGACAAACAGACTAAATAAATGTGCGGAGAAATAGATGAAAACTCTTTTTACAATAAGATAACAGAAAAGCTTGCTACAGACAGAAATTGTGTAATTATATGTTACTGAAATTAATTTGTTATTGTACTGATTTGACCTCAATTTAATGTAAGGTGCCACTATGGCATTATGATATTACTAAATAAGTATTTTTCCCCTTGCTAGAACTAAGAGGCACAATGAGATGGATTCAATTTAATAATTACAAAATTATCTTTTCTACAGGAGTGATTAAGACATGTTCCCAATTGGGAAAAAATCTTTAAATTTCTGTAGTTAGAATGATGTTTCCAAGACCTTAATATATGTCAATATTCCATTTGAAGAAATTCCTTTATTGCCCCTCATAGTTCCAGGGATGTTAGATAATAGAAATATGTGAGATGCATTAGTTAAATTAGGGTTAGAATAGACCAGCTTAGTGACCAGTGTAGATCAATTTAAATTCTAGTTTTATTAATATTGGTCTAATTAATGATGACTTGTTAATTCCGTTCAGTTAATGAAGAGCTATTTGAAGGAATTAATAAAGGCGTTGTCAACAAAAGCTGTACTTATACATTGCCATTTTATCGCATTTTGTATGTGAATTCTGAATTTATTCATATTTGATATGGTACGAATTGTATCATTTTTGCGTTTTCATTGTAACGTTTGTGTTATACAACTTGGATGTTAACGTAAAAGACTGGTGTGACTCGATGTGAGAATGGTATGTACTGTAGCTGTAGAGAATCTACTTGTCCGGGATAAAATTTGAATGTGCCATAATCTTTTATGGCAACTATCCACCGAATAGACTCGAGGACCTAATCCTCTTAATTTAAGGGAGATACTTTCACGAACCAGAGAAACATAGTTTCTAGTGATATCTCCAGTGTTTTGTTTTTTTGTTTGAGAATAAAAATGAACCAAAAATGACCAAATCTCAATCGCTCTGCCTCAAATAGTTTGTTCTTCACAGTGTTTGATGTCGCTTCAAATAAATGCCAGTTAGCTTATTGAATAATATTTCTGTTCAATTCTCAAGGTAGAGTACAGAGCAGGTTACTTTAACAAATCACTCACTCCTTCGACTAATTTTCTATATATTTGTATCATACACAATTGTAAATTATTAACACTCGTTTTTTGTTTGTTTTCCAACCCTCTGGCCTTTTACGCTTATCTAGATTTAATACTCGATACCAATATTTAATTGCCATATGCAAAAATCTTATGTACGTGTCCTAGTTTGTAACTAACAAAATTTCTCCTAAGGTTTGTATTGTGCATTATAATTTAAGGGTGCTGCAACAAAAAAAGGTGAGTAACTCGTTCTTAGTTAAAAAAAGCCTGTTAGTGAGAAGAAATAAACAAGCGTCTACATAAATGTCTTAGCGTCTACATATATCGCTTAACATTGTGGCGTATAAAAATATCACTCCAAAAGAACTCTTAATCGACTTCACTAATAATTAATTCTCGATTAAAGAATTCCAGCATGAATTTAAATAATGTTACACCACTGTTTATCAATTGCACCGGAATGATTTTATATATGTATTATTTGGCCAGCTTTGCTAATAATTTTAATTGTAATTATTATTACTAATGGATTTTTGTAATGTTTTAATAATTAATTTACATAGTAATTATTGTGTGATTGTTCACACGACTGTCTTATGTTTTGTAATTTATCACATTTTAAAGAGTACAAAATATTGGAATGTTATAATGTTGTTCACTAATCGTAAGTTTTAGAATAATTTCTACTTTTAAAACTGTTTATTATTTCGTATTATCATTTGTCATCGAATATACAAAGTTAATGTAAACCTTCTGACATGTAAATAAAAGTGATTTTGGTTTGGTAATTTGTATTTTCGAAAATCCCTAATTTTCAAGGTATGATATAATAATACACAAGCACAGCCATATTGTTACCTGACGGCTTGTACAAAATTTATCTACCTGTAAGCCGCATTAAACAACTTCGTTCCACAAAACATCATTTAATAACAATTAACAATTTTCTAACTCAAATTGTAGATACATACCAGCAAAGGGTTATATGAATAGCTAAATTATATATCGATCTGTGAAAAAAAAATCAAACGTCTTAAAGCAAATATTAATTACCTTATTAGCTACTGTTGTTGCCCTTAATGTTAGATATTTTACATCGATTTTTTTCGGAAATTTCGAATTGAAGATATCAAACTATGTCAAAAGAGCTTAATTTTAGATTTCAAATTTATTAACTATTTCTTTTTCAAGGCGAACTTAGGAAAAAAAAATTGTAACAGTTATATCATCGCACCGATCAAAATTACTTCAATCAAGAAGAATAATTATGGAAAAAGAAGATTACGACAAATTGATGGTGATAATAATATCCTTCTTAAGAAAAAGGAAAGTTAACTTCCAATTCAATTTCTATTGTGAGGGGGATGGTAAGTTTCTATTGGAACTTAAAGGCATTAAATTTCGACGATTATGATCTTTGAGCCATATAATGTTTTAATGTGGGGCTTATGATGCTTACCGAGAACGTACCGCGGGCTCTCAAAAGCCGAGAAGTTTCGTCTGGTGACCTAGCCTTGTCATAAGATCCTTCACACATTTCCGGATGAAAAGGACATCGCAATGTAGATAAATTCAGACCACAAACATTCAACCTACGCAATTTAATAAAACCTAAAGGTGAAACGTTTTAAATTACAGCAACATTCTCGTCGTAGATCATTTAAAAGATTGAAAAGACAAATAATAATTATAATAATAATAGAAAAGAAGTGAAATAAATATAAACATTTACCTGTCTTTGAAACAGTGCTTTCACGAGGTTCTTTTCATATGGAATGGTATGTCGACCAAAATGACCGCGACTGTGCCGGGTCCATCATCAACACGATATTAGGTTTGTTCGCGAGAATCGTCCTGTCCGTGATGATGGGCCGGTACCAATAAAGCCGGGCGCGGTCATTTTCGAGTACGGCCTCCGGATAGTACTTATAGTACCGCAGTTATCAAACTTCGAGAACGTATTTCAGAGCGAACTCCTGGTGTACAATTCTGACTACTAGGTTGTGTCTATACAGATACTGACACCCGGTTTCTGAAACACTGATCATCGTAGATGTTAACTAATCAGCTGTCAAATTTCATTTTAGTTGCCAAAAGGATGGTTAAAGTCTTCGAATTTACCAGAATGATCAGAATGATCAATTCAAAGAGTTTAACCACCCTTTTGGCAACTAATATGAAATTTGAAAAGCCATTTCAAAGGGTGTTTCTATATGTATAATATGTATTTACTTACAAAAGAAAAGTATGTTTATCAGTTTTCTAGTACCCATAGCTTTGCTTAGTTTGGGACTAGAAAAAGTTGTGTACAAATGTGTCCTAAAAAAAAATTAAATATATATATATTTGACAGCTGATTAGTTAACATCTACGATGATCAGTGTTTCAGAAACCGGGCGTGACCATCGTAGAAGTTAACTAATGAGCTGTCAAATGGCTTTTCAAATATCATTTTAGTTGCCAAAGGATTGTTAAACTCTTTGAATTAACATTCCGATGATCATTCTTCCACACTGACTATTGACTTCGTCAATAACTTCTACGATTTACACGTCGTCAGTGCCATCCCTTAGGATATATTTCGATAGTTGTACGTTTTAATAGCCTTATTCTGTATCGCATAGACAAAACCTTCGGTTTCCCTAAAGAGGTCACCGAAACGTAGCCAGTTAATGAAGGCAACAGTATTCATTTCTATTAGTTCCAGTTCTTAGCCCAATCACTGTACTAACAAAATTCCTCTTTAGCTGATTGGAATCCGATTCGGGCTCAACTGAAAATAACGGACGAAAGGAAACAAATCATAAGGTCATGTGATTTAATCACATATCAGAACAAAATGGTAATTACCAGAAGCGACACAACAGCTCCCACCATCGAACTTACAAAACATACAAAAGAATACCTACTTACTGTTTATAGGTACACGTGTATTGGGATAACATATCCTTACATATACGTAGCTAGCTCGACGCGATTCTGTTACAAAATTAACTTTGGGTGGGTACTTGGTGGTCTCTGTATGAATGCAGTTTCTTTAGCGAACATTAAAGGTCATGTGAAAAAGTCTAGCCTACATTCTAATTGGCACAATTAGATACAACGTACTAAATATTAAATGTAATGAGAACAAAATATTTCACAAGTAGACTGCACCCATCGAAGATCAGACTGAAATGCCTACCGTGAGTTCTCAAGATACGAATGGAAACAGAACCGCATCAAGCCATTATATTCATATATCCTTAACACGACTATTTACACTTTAAAACAAAAACAAATGCATCTAAACAGCTCACATATAAGTATTTGAGGTAATTCAAAACCGCGCCGCAACCACATACGGTTCCGTTACAAAAATAACCTTTACACGAAACAAAATTTCTATCACAATGCATCGCCCTCCGTCCGAATACCAACTTAGTCGCTAAAGTTTCATACATACATATAAATACAATGTTTATCGTCTACTGGTTATATTTTAAATTCCCAACTAGTATTAGGACGCGAGAATGATATCCGCCGTCACCAATCCGTGCGGCAGCACTACGCAGAAAGAAGGTTATGGTAACTCTTTATGAAATTCAGTTATACGTAATTGAATTGAATAATCGTGGCGTAAGCCGGTCAATATTCCTCCCGTTGAACAAAAATTCAAAATAAAAAAAAGGTGAATTGTTGTATATTCTTAAATAGCAAAATATTTTTGATAATGATATTATTGTATGCTGTGAAGTTTCCGAATAAAACATAATAAAAGTTATTGTTTTATTAATATTCCATTACATAGAAAATTCGAATGAATACTAGTATTTGTCTATTATTGTATATATATTGATTTTAATACATATAGAATTTTTCATGGTTGACAAAATTGTCTAAAATGCATGCAAAAAACCAGAGGTTTAGGAATCATTCCCTTTGTTGCAATATAATCTCAATTGTTTTTATATATATATAAATTTTTTCTCAACAATGTAACAAAACATAACATAGCATGTCTATAAGGTATTAAGCAATCAAATCGTAGTGTTGCCACACAAGACTAATAAAATTGCTCTATAGCTAATAATGTCCTATTGTCGTATAATGGCAAGTTATGTTGCCATCGCAAATATTGTGCTTAGATATAATTGGAGCCTTTCCGGTATCAAAGGAGAGATTAAATTAACGCTTACATTTTTCTTAAAAACTAAAATATATTTACAATAATACGTTCGATACGTACGAACTCGACTATTATATTTACATTACATAAAGTTTTGGATGCTTTGGCTATCAACAGCGCACTCGCTTCTCCCCAACTACGCTATATTAATCAAGTTCTACTAGGAACTAAATTTCGTAGTCTACACGAATGCACCGAAACTACGCAACTTGAACCCTAAATATAGTGGCATAAGGTTCGAGATGGCTAACTAAGACTAAAAGCGCTTTAATCGGGACACGATCACGTGTATTTGGTTACGGAGGCCATGGACTTAGATTTCGAATGTTTTCTGTTTTCTTTAAGCCCGACGAAAAATATAACCTATACAAAACAGGAAGTTATTTTGTCAATCAATTTTGTTTTTCTTTTGAAACAACATTGAAACAGTAACAATATGGAAGCCCACATTTATATCAAGACTCATATTTAAATACTCGTTTAAAGTATTGTAAATCCTTGTGCTGTGAACGTCCTGCGGACGGTGGAAGAGACGATGTGAGAATATCAATCACAATAAAATAAAGTACTCAGAACTCACTGGAGCCGGGACCTCGGTAAAAAAAAACTAATCCACCATCCAAATAATTAATTAAATAAAAAGTTCATCTTGTACCGACGCGGCGACATCAAACAGGCGATCGCTTGGGCTTCCCATCCAAGAGGTAGTCGATTGCACTGACTTTAATCCCGAAGAGTGAACAAAAACACGGCACAGATCCAGCGGCATCTTCGACCGCCTCTTGAAACGGGCGGCACACGAACACCGGTCTTCAGACGAGGAGCACAACCCTTCGGCCGTTCCCGAACCCGTCGGCGCGGGGGAGAACGGGACTTCCCCCGGGCGCCGCTAGCCGGGCTCGAGCGGGCCGCGGCGGCGAGTGCATCCGTCCCTCTCCGAGTGGGCGGGGGCGAGCGGGACGTCCGCCACTAGCTGGGCTCGAGCGCGCCGCGGCGGTCTGGCGGCGGCGAGTCGGCCATCGGGCGCGGCCGCGGCGACACCGGCCTGAAGGTGCACTCGGGCGCGTCCGAGTCGGGCGTGGAGGGCGTGGTGGGCGTGAGCCGGCCGGTGCACGCGCGCTTCGAGAGCGGCGAGTGGCCGTCGTCGCAGCGCCGCTTGCCCGCGAGCAGCGCCGGCCGCCCCACCGGGCTGAGCGTGGCGGCGCGGATCGCGATCGGCGAGAGGCTGCGCCGCGTCGTGTACTTGCGCGTGGGCGACGGCGAGACCACCGGCGAGAACCTGCGCGATCACCACCGCCCGTTGCAACGTCCGTGCGGTTGGGACGCCGGAAGTCGACGAGTATATCGATATTCGTAAAAGTATCAGCCTCGATATATCGATATTTTTTCGGCAATCCCTACCGTAGGGCTACAGACAATATCGATATCAGCCTCGATATAGCCGAATGCGTTGCCAAGTTGAAACGGACTTCACGCCGGTCTTATGAAAGGTCGTGGTACTTCCCCGGACGGACCTGCCCATTCGTACAACAGTGTAGACTGCTGTATGGTCAGTAAAGCTGGCCGCGTTCGCTCGTTTTTAAACGTCAATGTTAATATTTCCCACAGCTTGCGTGCTTTACAATCGAACGAGCAGCGGCTGGAACGCAACATGCTTCGGGAGGGATAACTCATAATATAACGTTATGGGACTGCGGTATCGATTGCAATTTTTCCGTAACTCCATTCAGAACCTAGGTCAAATTGTCAAGTCTTAACTAGTAAGCTTTAATATGTAATAACATAACATAGAATCCACACATTTATGTCGTTGACATATTCCACTGGTCCAGTGTGACCAGCCTCTTAGCTCTTAGGCTTTATAATTGTCACATGCAAAGGTCCACTTCTGAGAAGTGAACCGGAGGATTCTTAAAAAAGCTGACATGTAAAGTAGTATTGCCATCGGGGATTGAATCTAGAATCTAGTCACCGAAACGAAACTTCTGAAGGTGATTCTTCACAACTGTAGCATGGGCCTGGGAGACTGTAGCGACCGAAGCGAAACTTCGTAAGGTTTATCACGTTCGATCACGATGGGTTCAGCATCGCAGTAAGAAATAGTAAGAGATGCGCAGAGACCTGGCCGCCCTGGTGGGCGAGTGGGCGGCGCCGCCGACCAGCGTGAGGTCCTCGCACGACTGGCCCATCTGCATCGCGGTGTGCACCTCGCGCTCGTGCGCCACCTCGCGGGTGTTGCTCACGTCGGCGCACTCCTCGGCGCGCAGCTGGCTCACGCGCGGCGTCATACGGCGGCCCCACACGCTCTGCCGACATAGTGCGTACAGATCGAGGAGTCCAGGGGATACTACTGTGAGGGTCGCACTTCCTAGCCGTTAAACTTCAAAGTGTAGCCACCATCATCCCCCCTACCTTTATCTCACCTAAGTGGGGTTGGCATGGCTTGTGAATCGTGCTGCAAGTTTTGGTTTTGTCTTTTTTTTACGACCGGCCGCTAGCCTGACGTCAACCCTCCGTGCGAAACACCCGGATGCGGGACAATTATCAGTGGTTCACACAAATACTTGTCCCGAGTGGGAATCGAACTGACCATCCCAGACGCCAAAGCCAAGCTTAATAACGGCGCCGCCGAGTCATCAAATATCAAAGAATACCCATACTGAGAACGACTTCGGCACTATAGCGTAATGCTTGAGGTTTTCACAAGCAGCATAAGCATGAAATAACAGAACAGAAGTACATCCATGGTACTTTTGTCCTGTGTTTAGATCGAGCCTACGATACGGTGCGCGGCAGCGCACGCGAGGTAACCCACTTATACCATTGCACCATCTATGCGGTGAAAATTAACTTAATTGTTTGTACTTATTGTTTATTGGTACTTTTAAAAGATATTTTCCTCAGTTGCATCAGTATTTAAAAATTCCTTCAATAAAATCATTTGAGGAGTTCATGCATTTAAACTCGCATTAAATCATTAGGTACTCAAATTCGAAATGTTAAACAAATGGCGGTATAACTATAACCAAACAAAATCTATACTAAAACAAATCGCCCAGCATAAGAGAACCATTGTGCCACAATAATGAGTTAACTCGAGATTATAAAATTATTAGTGAATTCCGCTTCCGCATATCCCTTATTGGATGGATTATGTAGTTGTAGCTTTTTGATGCTCAATGACATATGAAAGAAAATCACATGTAAAGAAAATATAGCTAGTCAATTTTTAATAGATATTATAACAAAGACATGCTGATAGATGGCTGTACTCACAAATTTGAACAGATATAACAACAGACATTCTTAAGAGTGACTGTACATACCGACAAATTGATGGGTGCCGTGAGTGGGCTAGAACTGCCGCTGTGCCTCCGCGTGCGCGACAGGTTATTATTTGTGAACATGCTGAAGAACGACGTGCTCCTGCAACAACATTTCTTTACATACATACATATAATACACGCCTTAATCAACGGATTGTGCAAATAAAAACATATTAAGGAACTTAAAATTTCACTAACAAATCCAGCACTTAACATAAATAAGAGGCCATTAAAATTGCCACTGAATTGGTAACCTTTTTTTTATTGTGCAAAGTTGGTAAGCATTGTCTCATACACGCATGGCAGATGTTAATGCATGGCCCAACCACAGTCAAACTATTACACCATTAAAAAGTAACAGACTACTTTAAACATGGATTCTGGCTAGCGTTATGTGCAGAGATAGTAAATTTTTTTAGTATACACATTCATAAAAATCAAATTAATGTCAAAAGATAGATTAAAATGTCAATACATTATGAAACCTCTAAATAGTGTATGTTTACATGCATAAATATTGGAATTTTTAATATTAGAGCCTTTGGCAGTGATATTTTTGCAAATTCTAAGTTACTATTTATGGTATTTGCACAAAAACAAAATTTAATACTTATACAGTTATAATGTTTGCACTACTAGATCCAACAAAAACCATAAAAACTGTAAATAACTGTAAGTTATGTGCTATTATTTAAAAGCATTTAAGTAGCATTAATTTAGCAATAAAAAACAAATAATTGAAAGAGATTTGCATATGCTATGCTTAGCATAGCAGATGTAAATCTTAGGTATTAAAAATTTGGGTATTAAAAATTTGTTTATTATTAATAACCAAACTAGTGGAAAGTAATGTGCCTTGGTTTCATTGGGGCAATCAAGTCGACTGATTTATCATTTATACACAAATCACTCACACACAATAACTTCTAATGTTACTAATTTTAATAAACAAATAAAAACTTCTACTTAATTTTATTTGCTAGCACTAATGAAAACTTACATGTTAAATAACTACAAGTCAAATAAAAACTAATGTACATTCCGAGGATATATTAAGAATGGGCTTCATAAATCACAATGTGCGGCAATAACCAAACTTTCACCACATAACAATGCTTACAAAACACATTTGCTGTTTCCTCTGCCAATAGACACAATTTCAATACAACAATAACACAAAATAATCTAAACATGATATTGCAATTCAATATATGTTTATTGAAATTTGGTATGAGAGAGAGTTTATAAGCTTGCACCAGTACTGTTTGCTTATCAAACCATTGCAAGAAACAATATCTATGCTGATAATTTCTATGTTATATATGATGAATGTCTTTGTTTCATGGAACCATTACATGTTACACACAAACGAGTTCACAATTTTGCCCTATTTCATCAAAGTTAAAATTACACCTCAATTTAGTCTCAAGCTAATGTAAATGACTTTTTTTTAACATTGCTATTGTCTGTATTGTATTTACACATTGAAACACATAAGTTCTGACATAGCCTATCCAGTAATGTTACTATAAATGTGACTGTTTCATTTTAAATACCCATGTCTAGTTTTATAAAAGTAATCTAAATCCAAACCAGCACTTGCTACAGGCAGATTACTAACTAATGGGTAATCCAGGAAATTATTTAATATATTTAAAAATTATTTGTACAAAGCATTTTTACCTGATCGGTAATGTGTAAAGCCAGGAGAAAGTCTACTACAGTACCCAATTATAATGTATTCTGAGTAATGATTTTCTGATACACACATTTTTCTAGAAATTCAATACCTGAAACTTTTCATAAAATATTACAGATAAAATAAGATTAAGCAAAACAATCTGCAATTTTTAAGTTCAAACTCAAAGTATCTTTATTCAATATAGGCTTAACTTAAGCTCTCATTGACCATAAACAAAAGTTAAAAGGTAAGATTTAAGTATGTTATATAAATTTTCATTATCTGTTGGATTAAAAGTTCACTTGACTATTAAATTAAAACTCAAATCTCCAAGAGGCAAGATACAACATAAGTGCACCAAAATTGAGTCACTCAAATTACACCAATTGTAATTAGATTGCAGTCCTACAACTGTTATCACATTTCATATCATACCCATTTACTTATATATGTCATATAATGTAAAGTGGAACAATTTATTAACACTGCAAAGTATGGACATGCATCATTTATATTATTAAACATCATTGGCTTTAATAATATTCAATGATTATGTGGATATGATTTCAAACTCAGGTTTATTTCATTAATTTACACAAATTAATAATTACTAACAAAGATACTAGGACTAACAATACTAGGATCATAAAATGCTTTTTATGCTAAGAATAATGCTTGCATTTATACATTATTATTATCATTTCCATAAAATTAATTTTGCAGTATAATATTCATTCACTACTTTGCTTTGCTTTCTTACTCCATCAACTAAAGAGTGAGAAAAACTAATTAGGTTTGACAAGATATTTTTTTACTTCTTTTTACAACACTAGCCATCATCATTATTGAAATATCTATGTCTATAATAAAATATATTTTCAAATTGTTAGTTTAATTGGTACAACATACAAACATGTTACTTAAAATGTTATATGAATAACAATGATAATAAATTATCACTTTAATTAACATCATAATTGGGCCAAGAATTATAGAATGGTATATACTTTTAACCATCAACATTGAAGTCATTACTATGTGATTGTTTTATCTTGCCTCAATTATACTAACATGATAGACTATTAAATCATTGGTTAAAATTCAGCCATGACATTTTCAACAATGCACTGACTTAATTGTCAATTGAAATGATTTACATATTACTTCACATTAATACCACATGCATTAAATTTTGCAATTAATATCATGCTTATAAAAAGAAAAGGTAAAACAAAAGTATGGAAAATATATTAATAAATATGAAAATCGCTTTGCAATTCAAAATATCGACAAGCAAGACAATGCTGCTTAAAAATCTGAATACAAAGAGTTTTTCTTCACACGAGTCCCGAACTGCGTTAAATTATACGCTATTGCGACTGTACAACGTTAAAATGAAATAATTTATAAGCAAATGTAAGGCTAAAAACGGGTGAAGTATCATCTATTAGCGATCTCAGCAGCTGTCAAAAATAGTCAGGTAATTTATCGACACAGACACAATCCCATACCGTGGGAGGCGACATTATTTTACCTGGGCGCTGTGTTCGTTGTGGGCGATGTAACTGCCGTTGAAGCTGCCTCATTGATAAGAGGTGCGCTGCTGCACCTTTTTAATATGTTAGGTGCATCCACATCCATTATCTAGAGCCAACATTCATTAACTGACGTATCGCCTAGGTATATACATACGGCTTGCCGACACGATTAATGGTCTACTGTTTATGTAACACTGTAAGTGCACTTGGGAAAAATCTAAATTACAATCTACACTACCATTACGACTACATAGATATTAAATATAAGACGTAAATAAAACGATAACATAAAATTAAATTAAAATACGCTACTCGAGAAGCTAAAAAGAGGCTCGAGGCTGACCTGTCAAACCGCCGCAACAGTAACGTTCAAAACAGTTAGTTAGGCAACGTTCAGAATTAAAATCTGTCGACTTTCTGAATAGCAAGTATTTTCTTTTTTTTTGTGGTTAGCCCAGCGGGATTAGTATCTTCGTTAAGAGGTAAATAACCGACAACAGAACAAAGACACTCGTGCATGACGACAACACGATGATGCCATACGCTAGCGTAGAAGAAATATGGAAAATAAACTAATAAGAGAGAAGAGAAGCACGACGCACTCCAAGGACTCCTGAAATGAAGGTCCCAACCGAACCTCACATTGAACTGTAACAAGTACTGTACTACTGTCCAAGTAGAATATACCCGGATCAAGTAATCCGGTGAGAGCAATCCGAGACAAAACGCTTGAAACGATCACTTTAAGAAATTTAAATTACGATGTATTTATTTACGAAAACCATTTACGCAAATATAACAATTACAAAAAGTTATAGTTTATGGAAATTCCTCAAACTCACGCACACACACTTAACTATTCATTTTAAATCAACAGTTTTGAACATGTGTTACTTTCACTATTACAGATGTTCAAAACTGTTGATTATTACACGTAAATAAATAGTGGAAAACTGTAATTCGCTTTCAATAAGATGTGTCTGTGTGTGTGTGTGATTAATCTGGAAAAACTATTATTTAATAAACTGTGTTTTCCCGAGTAAAAAATAAATATGACCCTGATTCATCGTTAAATAACATTAGTATCGTTATTTTCAAATCATTCAACTTATTTATAAACCCAATACTTTCTTCTTATTCAATCAATCAATCAAAAATCTTTATTCAAATAGACGCTTGCGCGTTCTTATGAATCGTCAAATTTTACATAAAACATTATACATAGAGGTTCGTAAGGTACCACCGGTTCGGAAATCAGTTTCTGTTGAGAAGAGACCGGCAAGAAACTCAACAGTTGCTCTTTTTCAAAGATGTCAGTTTACAATATAAAATACCGGTATAATAGTCTTATTATTCTTTTACTATTCTTTTACTCAATGGCAAAGTGTAACAGTACGATGAACGAGTGAGCATTTTATAAATTTATATGGCATATATTGCAACTATATATTTTTCTATCCATATACTGGGCATCAAATGTTTATTTAATTACATAATAATTGATATGTAAAGTATCAATAGAACACAAGCAATAAAATAACCCATAGTTAAAGTAAGAACATATAGGATGGAACAGTAGGAGGTATTTTTTAACTTTGTAATTTATGGTTTTTATGTGACAAATGGACGAATTAATTTCTGTTTTTATTTTATTATTAATATGATTGTCAATTTAAAATTTTTGCAAATTAATATACTAAAACTTTCGGCGTTGCTGGATTCGAATCTGCGTCTTCTGGTTTCGCACGGCTCCCATCCGACGAAGCGGTCAAAGCCGCGGAGCTAAAGCCCGATTTACATAGGTCAAGGACAGTGAGTACATATTGAACTAGTGGCTTAGTGGCTAGTGGCGGACACCGGACAAGCATTGGCGTATCTAGGGCTATTTTTCAGGGTGGGCCTGGGCCCTTAGTACTAAAACAAAATCGAACACTGTAGAACTGTTAAACGACGCAACGAATTTTAATGCGATTTTCAGCAATAGATATTATTCAAGTGGAAGGTTTACATGTTTACTGATATTTAATCATACGTCGGAAGTCGTGGGTTCGATTCCCACACGGACACAACTATTTGAGCGACCCACAGAAAGTTGTTTTGCATCTGGATCTTCGTCCTCGTGCATTTTATGTTTGTAAAACATCCTTACAACACAGGATAATAAATTATCCTAAAATGAAGGCAATGTTTTTAAAAAACAAATTAAAAAAAGTATATATATGCATATTATAGTAGAGAAATTTTGAGAAATTCAATATCTCTTGTATCTTGTATCTTGTATTAACTGATGTTTTTGATTTCAGTCCTGAGACTATTAAAGCTTCATCGGACGCAGAACCGGTGGGCTAGCCAGAACCCACGGGTTTGGACCCTTTGGGTAGGGTCGCGCATGTGCTCATGCGAGCGTTTAATTATGGTGTGTCATCTAAGGGCCGTCGAGGTCGCGGTTCGGACCGAGACCCCGACGGCCGTCGACTGTGCATTTGGCTAATCGATGGCTGGGAGCGGTGAGAACCGCCCCGGAACGCGGCTGTACCTTGTGTACGCGTTGTGTGGGTCTCGCCGTGCTCGGAGGCGAGGGCGAACTGGTGTGATTGTTGTTACACTAACTGTGGGTGTAGTGTTTATCCGGCGGGACCCGCGGCGGTGGGTCCATCGTATCTAAGTCCTCTTCGTCGACCGGGTCGATGAGAACGTTTCGCGGGCGACGCTTGTTTACGTTCGCGTTAGTGTCCGGTTGGTAGTTTGCTGCGCTTACCACCAGAGGGTTGGGATGATGCTGGGCTCTATCGAAGAACCGTTTTGTCAAATCTTTAAAATGTGCGCGAATCGTCGGGTGTCTGCAATCGCTGTGCAGGTCGACGTTGCGCTGATACCATTGCGCACCGGTTGCGCAGCGGATAAACTTATTTTGTACTATTTGCAGCTTGTACAAGCGAGTAGGGTGCGTGTGGGCGAAGATCATGCATGCGTAGTACATAATAGGTCGTACGCAGGTCTTATAAAATAATAATTTGTGCCTTAAGGGCATTTTACTTTTAGCGTTAGTTAAATTGTGTAGCCGGCCGGAGACGAACGCGGCTCTATTACGAACGTTATTAATGTGCGTAGTAAATGACATACGCGAGTCGAAAGTGACTCCTAAGTATTTGACCTTTTTCTCCCAGGGGAGCCGTTGGCCATAAAGGGATATTTGCCCCAACTTTCTGCATTGGCGAGGGCCATTATAAAGATGTGACGGGTAGGTACTTCGTGTGAAGTGAATCGCCACACTCTTTTCGGGATTTATTTCTATTCTCCATTTGCGGAACCAATCGCCGAGGCGGTCGGCGGCGCTTTGGAGTAGAGTGGTTAGTATTCTAAGGTTGCGGTCTGAATAAAAGAGCGCGGTGTCCTCCGCGAAAGGCGCGAGAGCCGCTCGTAGAGCTTCCCCAGGCAACTGAGGAGGCTGATGGGACGATAGCTAGAAGGCTGATTAGCTGGTTTATTCGGCTTGCGAATGCCGATAACCGTGGCTTGCTTCCAGTCGTCCGGAAAGGAGCAACTGGAGAGAAGGGTATTGAAAATGGTCGCCAGTAAACAGATAAGCGGCCCAGGGAGAGCTTTGAGAATTTTATTACTTATATTATCTGGGCCCGGGGCGGATTTTGGTTTTAAATTTTTAATAATATCTTGGACCTCTTCGGGGGTCACTGAATTTAAAGGTTCACCTTCCGGTGGAAGCGCAGCCCTAGTCTCGATTACGTGGTCCACCGCCGTTAGGTGGACTGAATCGGTGTGTTCGCGCGATGGCGTACATTGCTGCTCTAGGTTGTCCGCAAGGCATTCGGCTTTTTCGGAGTCATCTAGGGCTGTTGAAGCGCTATTAGGTCTAACTAACGGCGGTAGAGATTCGCGGGGGTCTGCTTTCAGACTGCGGGCCAACCGCCAGTAGCCGGTGTGCGATGGCTCGATGTTCTCTAGGAGAGTGTCCCACGTTGTGTGTCGGTGTTCCGATACACGATCTGTGACTTCTAGCTGAAGGCGTCGAAGTAGGGTTCGGTTCGATTCCGATCGGTATCGGTCGAAGGCGCGTTTGGCTGCATTTTTCTGTCTAATTAGCAGTCTTAGGTCGGGCAGAAAGTTAAACCATCGGTCGCCCGACAGTTTCACCGTCCGTTCCGAGTCTGTGACTGCGGAAGTAATAGTTTCTCGGAGACTCGCTATCGCTCGATTTGCGTCATCGAACGTAGCTATCGTCTCGGGTAAGTCTACTAAGTCCTGGGGGTCCAAGGCCTTGAGTTTGACCTCGAGACGATGCCAGTCCACTACGGATTTGGTCGGAGGGACCGCGCCGGCGTTCTGGCCCAGTTTACACAGGACGGCCTTGTGGTCTGAGTCTAGTTCATGGATTGTCTCTATCGACTTGATGTCGAGCGAGACCTCCCTGAATAACATGATCTCTAGGACACTCGGTGACACGTGTTGGTAGTTGTCCACCGTAGGATACCTAGTGGGAGTCGCGGGAGCGACTATGCTAAAGTTTAGGTTATCGGATAAGCTAAAGAGATGCTTTCCGTTGTTATTTGGGATGCTGTTGGTGTCCCATGAGCCGTGTTTGCAGTTTAGATCTCCTGCAATTATCACGGATGGGCCTAAGTTAAGAAGCGTATCTAGGTCGCTTTGAAGTATGGTTCTATTCCCCCAGGAGGTAGGCTGAGACTAGTACAAGCGGCCTGTGGCCGGTGAGCGCTAACCTACACGTTATACCGTTTATAATAAATTAATGTGCCTCCCAGACGGTTTGCTAACCGGTCGTGGCGGACAATATTGTAATTTGCGATTCTGGGATCACGTACACTAGGTTTCAAGAATTCAATATCTACATTGCACCTAACTCGCCTCGCTCGGCTTCAATCTGCTTTTGGCGATGAAGGATAGGTGTCCAGCCTCGAATCGGTAACCCAAAATCCTGGGGTGGGCACTAAACCATACTGGGGTGGGCACCCCCCCGCTATATACGTCTATGCGGACAAGTGGTTGTTGACGGCAAGTACAGTGGTATTACTTTCCAGAAACTGACGACACAATATAATAATGAAAATACAAAAACAATACGTGCAATTTCGTTGCCTATTGCCGGTACCACTGTACTAATTTGACCGTTTAGGGGTTAAGTGGGCACGCACTTACACCGAAAACAGAAAGCGATTCTATTTCGGTAAAGTTGCAAGGCAGCCAAGTTGACTCGCCACTGTCTACACCTCGCCACGGTTTACACTACTGTACCTGTCTACTGTAATATACACTTAACCAGTGCTTAGCGGGCTTTAAATTTTTTTTCATGTGATGTACTCTACTTCTAGTCTTGTATCGATCGCGAACGATGAACGTTTAGGAAACGTTTCTTTTCACTGTACTAAAAGAAACGTTTCCGTATGATAAATATTAATCAGTCTAACAGCTCTTTAGTTCTTTGCATACAACTACCAACACAATTCATCGGTTCGGTACCGAACGTATTGGTTAAATTGTGAGTATAGATATTTTTGCTGTATACCAATGTAGTAACAACTATTTTAGCTTAACGACGCAAAAAGGCGGGAGACTCGTTTCTTGTCTATATAATAATTAGGTACATAACTGTTATTATTGAACAAGTAAAATTTTGTAAGATAGTTAAAATATAGTGGTTTGTACTTTTTAAATACTAATTCTGGTTTTGTAATATTTTTATTTTCGCATGCTGTGGATGGATATGGGAAGTTTCAAACGTAAAATTAAATTTATGTAATTTTTTATTTTTTGTGTTAAAGTAAATAATTTTACTGTGATTAACGTTGTTCTTATTTTATTGTTTTGTTTCTTGATCAATTCATTGCTATAAAGTATGGACTAATATTTTGATCGATATTAAGTGTGCGTGTTTGTTTACGTGTGACTTTGCCGCGTTATTTTATATTGTATCACTGCTTTTAATGTCGATGTTATAAATCGGCTGAATAACAAACAAACTTATGTACATTTTAAACCTTTGAATTTTCATTATATTTACATTGTCCAGTACATATACTAAGATTCAGTATGATATTTGATAATCATAAGGCTTTAGATCACAGAACATATATACTCCAGGGATCGACTTCGTACAAAAAATGTGAGGTTAGTTTTGCTGCGCGCCATCTAGTGGCACTTTAGATTCTAAAGCCGAATGACTTGCGGACAACATAGAGCAGCAATGTACTCTATCGCGCGATCACACCGATACAGCCCACCTAACGGAGGTGGACCGCATAATCGAGATTAGGGCTGCGCTTCCACCGGAATCCGATCCTTTGAGTTCAGTGACCCCCGAAGAGGTCTAAGACATTATTAAAAATTTAAAACCGAAATCCGCCCCGGGGCCGATAATATTAGTAACAAAATTCTTAAAGCTCTCCCTGGGCCGCTTATCTGTTTACTGGCGACCATTTTCAATAATTTACTCTCCAGTTGCTCCTTTCCAGACGACTGGAATGAAGCCACGGTTATCGGCATTCGCAAGCCGAATAAACCAGCCAACCAACCCTCTAGTTATCGTCCCATCAGCCTCCTCAGTTGCCTGGGGATGCTCTACGAGCGGCTTCTATTATACAAGCTCAAAGAGAACGTGTTTTCTTTTATTCAGAACGCAACCTTAATCGCCGCCGACCGCCTCGACGATTGGTTCCGCAAATGGAGAATAGAAGTAAATCCCGAAAAGAGTGTGGCGATTCACTTCACACGAAGTACTTATCCGTCACATCTTTATAATGGCCCTTGCCAATGCAGAAAGTTGGGGCAAATATCCTTTTATGCCCAACCGCTCCCCTGGAAGAAAAAGGTCAAATACTCAGGAGTCACTTTCGACTCGCGTATGTCATTTACTACGTACATTAATAACGTTCGTAATAGAGCCGCGTTCGTCTCCAGCCGGCTACACAATTTAACTAACGCTAAAAGTAAAATGCCCTTAAGGCACAAATTATTATTTTATAAGACCTGCGTACGACCTATTATGTCCTACGGATGCATGACCTTCGCCCACACGCACCCTACTCGCTTGTATAAGTTGCAAATAGTACAAAATAAGTTTATCCACGGCGCAACGTTCGTTCCGGATACCAGCTTTAGATTCTTATGTCTACGGATCACCATAGTGACATAATATGTTGTATCTTATAACATAGATTCTATATATATCTGACCAAATCCGAAGACCGATAAGAGCTAATTTAACGAAAAGAATGAACTAGTTCACTGTCCGAAATGAGCTCTTCTAAAGGAACGAGCAGGTACAAGACTATCTACTTCACAAAAACGGTTGTTTAAATCTGACATCTGTGATCTGTCAATACTGTCAATTGAGATATAAATATTAGTAAATAATATATAATTATTTATATATATATTTTGTTATCAATACCAGTGTATACTGAAGTGAAACTTGATAAACATTTTATCTTATTTTATAAAAAAAATTAAAACTTAATAATGTACCAATTTCTTTGTCGACGACGAAGGTATTGATAGCGATCTAGAAGATTTAGTAAATGTGTTTTAATATATTGTTGATTTTATCTCTTTCTTTTTAGCGCAGTAGCGAAATTTTTCATATTTGCTGTTTTTGGTATTGTTTTGTATAACGAATGGTTCATATATTCCGTACAGCCAATTTATTGGCTTGATATGGAGTGTCCGAAGGATGATATATCGTGTACCAAGATAATGTTTATTGCGGACCCTCAAATACAAGGCGAAATGGATGTAGCCCCGCCTTTGAGTTATCTTTTTAACTGGGATAGTGATAGGTATGCCAATTTGTTTAAATATCCTCAAACACTGAATGAAACAATCAATTTTATCCAATTTATTTCATATAAATAAATATAAATATTTTTAGGACATATATATTCTGAATCTGAATATTTCCAAACACTTAAATTTCTTCCATCTTTTTTCCAATATTACTTAGCATGTACTTAGCTTAATTTCCATACCCTACCGTTTTTTGTTAAGAAGAGAAATGCTATCCATTCCACAGTATAAAGGACCAATATAAAGCTCCGTCCTGTGCATGGTGCATTTTTTTATTTATCAATTGAAAATATGCTGCTTTATTTTTTTTGACAAGAAAATTCACACAATGGAATGGTGTGTGAGCTGTCAAGTTGTATTTTATGAATGTTCAATATTGCCTCCCATGGACATTATACCCGAGGGTTTGTAGATGCGTTGACAACATTTTTATGTAGATAAATAAAAAATATCCACTCCTCAGGTAGACTGGGGGAGAATGCTTTAAGAGTGCCCATTGTAAACCTCTTTACTTTACTTTAACTTTAAGATGTAATTTTGTAGTCTTAATAAAGATTATTTTTCCCCTGGGACTTTATTAAAAATTTGTATTGCGGCAATATATTCAGCACCTTATGCAGTTACTAAATGTATTTGCATATATTTAAGCTGGATTTCAGGTACTTGAAATCAACATTTAGAGAAGCATTGAAATATTTCAAGCCCAATGTTCTTGTGTACCTCGGTGATTTAATGGATGAAGGATCTATTTCTTCCATGGTACAGTTCCATGCTTATGTAAGGCGCTTGTCTGACATATTTGAGGTTTCCTATCCTGTTATAGTAAGTTAATTCAACATAAATGCTTTTTATTAAAAATAACAGCCCATACATGTATTAAGTAACTCTTTAAGCGTTTGTAAGGGCATAAATAATCTATTTCATCTTTAGTGAAACCTTAGTGCTGATTACTAGATTGAATAAGTTATAAATATTTTATTTTATTTATTGCTTATACTAGCGGGTGTCTTCGTGATTTTTCCTTCAATACAAAGCATGCGGTGAATCAGCATGTAAAATTAACAATTGACACTGAACTGACACTTGTTACATGTGTAAACAATGTTTTTATTTCTCCTATTGAATAAGTTGTAATCAAATCATACCTCTTACGCCCGGTTACTGAAACCAAAACAAAAGGACGGTGAAACTCTCTGAATTGACCAGAATGATCTTCTAATGATCAGAATGATCAATCCAAAGAGTTTAACCATCCTTTTGGCAACTAAAATCAAATTTGAAAACCATTTGACAGCTGATTAGTTGACATCTACGATGATCAGCGTTTCAGAAACCGGCCGTAAGGTATGTAATATGACATTGACAATTTATGTTTGCAAAGAACTAAATCTAAAATCTGTACATATACATAAAACTTATAATTTTCTACACTTAGAACTAGTCTATTAGAGTAAATTAATATTGTTATTAATTAATTACAGCAAGTATGGCTTCCGGGCGACAACGACATTGGGGGTGAGAATGAACCAATTCGCAAAGACAAACTTGAAGAATTTCATGCAGTGTTTGACCAGCCCTCAGTCATCACATACAAAAATGTCTCATTTTACAAAGTTAACGGCATCACGCACAGCTATCCGCAGGCTTCCGAAGACGACAATGGTTACAGAATAGTAGTTTCCCACTATCCAGTACTGTGGAGATCTGTCTTTGGAAAGCAGGTAGAAGTTTCTTTTTTAATTTTATATTATAATTATTAATTAAAACGACAAGTAGTAAGCTGGTACTCTACAGGAAAGAGATCAGATAGGTTTTGGTGCACACAGCTGAGCTTTGAACCAGTAACCCCAAATTTTATTGACACCCTCGATGATGATCTCATCTCCGCCTAATATGGTAATGTCTCGTAAACCAACAAGACAAGATCAAAATCTGTGCTTTAGTCGCTTCCATTTACCTGGAAAATCCGAAAGTGTGGAGGATATGAAAAAAAAATTTTATGCCATAATGGCGATGATTGTGTTCAAAACTCAAACTGTGTACCTTAACCTTCGTTCAACCTTATGGCCAGCATATCTGTGCCTGTGACCTGTGAGACACGTGCACATATAAACACGTAAACACGCCATCCGTACCGTTGAAAACATCTTGTTTAAAATCTAAGTGCTCGTAGAATTGTTCAGCTTTATTTATTATTTGGTCACATTTGTTCCGCTTTACCCATGTCCAGGTGCACGATGCCATACGGCCCAACGTATATTTCTGCGCGCATGAGCACAAATCCAAATACGTCGTCAAAGACCGCGACTGGAGAAACATTGCCGCAAGGCCGATCACATCGCACGATAGTGTGATGGAGGTCGCAAGCGGTGGTGAAAATGTCTACGAGATTTATGTCCCCACCTGCTCTTACAGGATGGGCACCAGCACCATAGGCTACGGTGCAGCCATTCTTGGTGAGTGCACGTGCCAATAAATGCTTCACAAATACTTCTGTGTATCATAATGAAGTATGATAGTTTTAACATCTCTATCTTGTATGACATATTCTCTGATTGGATACTAATTTTTTTATACTGATGCAACTCTTGATTTGAAACAAAAAATTAAGGAATTCTGGTTGTATGTAATTAATTGCAAATTGTCTGTATCATAATATATTTATTACATATTTTGTACATTTTGGTCAAAAAGAATAAAATACACATAAGAAAATGTTTTAAGTATACTATATGTTTTAATGTTGTAATAATTTTTAAATTTTGTTACAGTTAACAACAACAATATGCTGCGCTACGGAGTGCTTTGGTCACCGTTGAGATTTACCGCTCTTTTTGCGTACGCCATTCTAGCTGTTTGTTCGGTGATTTACGTTTTTGTTTTTTGTCTGCCTAGAATGATATTCAAATGCACGGAAACTAGCCTCAGCGATGCCACGGTGCCTCTCTTACAGGCGAGCTAGTTCATCCGATAACCTTAACCACCACACGAAGCTTTATGCGAAAAAGGGATGTCCATAAAATATTGATATATTTAGATCCAATGTATCAATACAAAATATTCAATTCAATATGGAAAATCATAACAAAAACGATATTTTTTCTAATTCGAATCACGGCACAGAGTTCGTAGGTGTCAAATATTTTATACATTAACATATCCTTTATTTTCTTTAGGGGTAAATAGGACAGAAAATATAGATATTTTCTCTACGATATATCGAAACCGATATTGATATTTTAAAAAAAAAAGCGATATATTTCTTCACTTTCGACATCCCTTTTTTACAGTGACAACCTTGTACAATCGTTTTACACATTATATTTTGAAATCTTCCAATGTTAACTTTTTTCATAATTTAGAACTTCTTCGTCTTTACTTGACATATTGATAATTTTTTTGAACTTATACGTGACATATTGATAATTTTTTTTTTCACAAATATTTTTCTTTTTCTTAACACGTTCATTACCACTACGATTTTCATGATGTCTTCTCAGATGCCGCCTACATTTTCCGGTGGACTCACCAGGTGAGTCGCCGGCACTGCTATATAAATTGAATCGACTCGCCACGCGAGTTCACTGGCACTACTTATGGTAAATTCTATGTTTTGTTATTTTTGTGGCCGTCACAGTGTACAACGCAATTAAAAAGTGTTTTAGGACTTGTCTTTTTTCTTTAAAAAGTGTTTTAGCTTGTAAAAATGGCAAAAAACTCTTCGGATAAAAAAAAAGGTAAGTGTGTTTCGTAATTTAAGCAGTGGTTGTCAATCTTTTTAACTGTGGTTACTGTTAAGGTTATATTTTGAATTTTGTAATATGTACTTGTAAATAGACAATTTTACCCTGAAATACGGGCTCTCAGTTTTAAGAATATTGTATCAGATTAAAATATATAATTTTTATTGCGAATTTAATTGATAACAATTAAAAAAAATAGTTTTTGAAAACGTTTAAAATCTGTCGAATTAAAATTAAATGATAACTTATTAATATGCAATAATTATAGTGTCTTTAAATGAAACAACATTTTTATTACGTTCGTTTGTTAAGAAGTGCCTGATATTTTTTTAGCGCGGTTTGTGGCAGAAACGGAGCCTTACGACGACGATTTAACTCAGATGGAGGAGGAGAGACCTACAAAGCGACCATGCATAGAAGGTAACGTGTTTGTTTTGTTATTGATTATTTTCATTTTACTTATCTTAACAACGTTTTACCAGGTGGTAGGCCTTTTATGCTAGGTACGACTACCTGTGGTGGACACCAGCAGTGCCAGATATTCAGCCGCCAAATAGTAATGCTCTGTTCCTGTTTGAATGGCACTGTAGCTAGTGAAATAACTGGGCACATGAGACTCAAGAACTGACTTCTCACATTGATGAGCGCAGTGCAGTGCATCCAATGACTGTAAATCAAAGCAATGGGTAGCACTGCAACTGTTATGAGCTGGCATGACGCTTACCATCGTGTGAATGTCCAGCACGTCTCATCACTTGTTTACATAAAAAACATGTAATATTTAAAAGCTGCTTTATTCCTATTTTTATTTTATTTTAGGAAATCTCCAAAATTACACTGAAGACAACTCGATGAAGGTTCTGTTTGAAAATGATTCTCAAGACTGGGATGACGACAATAATAACTATCAAATATATCAATAATAACTAGCATCCAAATTGCTGTCGCCGGGCCGTATAAGGCTGGCAACGAAGTATTGATAGTACATATTTATGTAATACTCTATAACTCGAATTTCTAAAAGGAGACTCCGTAAGTCGTAGTTAGTACAATATAATGACGTCTTACTTGGAATTCCCCGAAATAATAGCAATAAAATCCAAAATGAATGTTCGGGTTCGGGGCTTCTAATCTATTGTTTTTGTCTTATACACGTGCAATGAATGAAAACAATCATAAAACTTTATAAGTAACACAGCTGTGTTATGTTTGTTTCCTTGTCGACACGATTACTTTTAACGGAGCTTGTCCGTCAGTATTAATTTTTAAGTCGAAGTTTCAGCGCATTTAAATCATATGTATCTCGAAGTTTTTGGTAAGTCGAAAACTCGTTCGAAATTGTTAGCATTTCCCTTAACATTCGAGTTATTAAGATTCCACTGTAGTTTGTGGTATATTGGTTCCATATCACAAGTATGTAGGTAGTCCTTGCTACTATGTTGACGTCGCGACATATTTACTTTAAAAGGTTGAGGATCTATGGCAGCGAACTCGCCTAGCGAGTTCAAGGCATTGCAGAATAGTTTTTTTTTTTTTTTTTCCATTCAAATATAAACGGGGTCTCCGCACCCGGCCCACCTCGTAAATCTTTAGTTTAGCATATATTTAGTCTAAACTATAATTTTGAGCAGAAAATACGGATGCATTTTCGAAATATTGGTGAAAAACACTGAACTCGCCAGGCGAGTCGTCGGCACTGGAATAAAATTTACGTGAACTCGCCGGGCGAGTCGGTGGCACTGAACGTGTTAACCTGCATAACTTTGCACTAATACCAGGAGATTTGACTTTTAAGCTAGAAAGCTTACGGTACCAGTACATGAAGTTTTAAAATACCTTCCATTTTGTGCGATAGGTATTATTATATTTTATTTTGTAAATTATCATGTCATGATTTATTATTTATAATTCTTCATTCTGTCATGAAATTTTCTGTTAACTCTTTACACTCAACTTTCAATTTTTAATTTCGCATTGCAGTCATTATTTACTAATAAAAATAAAATACTCGGAAAATACTCTTCTATAATATATTCTTGCGTCTGTTATTTTTTCTTCACACTCAAAAAAATATTTCATTTTTTATCAATAGTGAAAATCAATCAATAATTGATGTCACTTGTAAAAAGACAATAATACGAAAATTATTCACAATATAATTATTATTATTTTATTAATATTTTACATTACAATATAGATATTCCCGTAATATTTATGTTGTTTGGCATTTAACTTATTAGCTCCTATTACATTTATGCCATCATTATTGATAAAAATTGTAAAGACTATTTAAGTAAATAAGTGTTACTTCATTTAAATTTTAACAAATGTAAATATTTAAAATGAAAGATTTTTTTCATGTATATTAAATTGAAAGATCTCTGTGTAACCCTTTATTAAAATTGCAGTATACAATTATATTCAATTTATAATTTAGATTATAGATTTCAATTTAGATTATAGAACCAATGTTATTTCACAGAGATATTTTGGAAATCTGTTTATATTAAACTAGTGGACCCAACAGACATTGCCCTGTACACATGAGTTAAATCCGACAACTTATGAATAAATAAACTTGTATTGTAAATAACAGAAGAAATATATATATAATATAAAGATATTATTTAAATCGGAACAAATTAGTCAGAATTGTAAGATCAAATTTATTTAATTTTGTGACAAATATGTATATGTATCAATATAAATATTCATAATCTGATGACAATCAACTTTTAAAATTCAAGCTATAATAAAAATAAAAAAATAATTTAAATTATCACAGGGTAGTATGTTACAATAAATTTTATATCCTTATTAGTTTCTTATTTAAAAACAAATTTTATGTAAATATATATATTTTTTTATCTAATTCATTTTTAATTCATTCATATTATTCTCCTTATTAATGATCTCTTTATTTGATCATTTAAATCAAACCCAAACCTGAGAAAGAATAGTTGTTACATTGTGAATGATTGCCATGTAAACAAATTTTTTTATTTTTATTTGGCATTTAAACCATAGGAACATAATAATGGCATCCCAATAAAATATTTGCAATGAAAAAAATATTTAATTAAGTGTTAAGGAAATATTTGTTTTGTAAATTAATTATTGTTACTATTAAAATGTCCAAATTGTTACTTAAGTCTTCATTACTTTACAATTGGTGATATGTTATAATCAACAAAAAATCTTTATTTCCTTAATTTTATGAAGCCAGTCTTGCCTTATTTAAAGAAAATATATAATTTTTTAATGTCTTAAATAACTTTATTGGAAACTAAATTGTTATTAATTGTTACTTATTGGCGTGTGAAAAAATACTTAAATTACTTAAAATATTTGTTTAAAACATAAAATTTGAAACAATAAATAAAGTATTTATAACAAACTATTTTTATTCAAATTTTTATACCCTTCCTCTTCAAATATACACTTACTGTTATAGTTGCAAGCATGTACATATTTAATATTATGAATGTAACATAAGAGTGTGTTAACAAAGTCCTTACTGTTAAATTAATTAAACCAGTCAATAAATTTGCTACTATAAAATTTATAAGACCATTTTGGTGAATAGAAGATAATATAAAAGGAACAGTGAAGCTTAGCTTTCTTTCTTTATCTTGATATAACACTTCAAAGAAATATAGTACAAGCAAAACAGTGACTAGGATTGTTTCCAAATAAATACAAAATCCTGCATTAGCTAATGTTCTTGAGGTCGGTCTATATGTGTCAATAAAGTATGTTAGTATCCAGAGACCAACAGAACCTAAAATCAAACGAAAAAGGATCTTATATCTAAAAACGGATTGATCATTAAGCATTGATCTAATATGAACTCCAAATAAATAAAGGGAAACATAGCCAAGACTGGAAACAACTCCTTCTCGATTAGCCTCAATTAGTGATATCCTTGGGATGTCACCAAATACCCAATCCTGAAGGCCATTATATAATAAATATTCATGTAAAATTAAAACAGACAAACTTAAAAACAGTGTACTTTTTGAATAATAAAGAATAATTGATGAAATCAGCTTACATACAGCTAATGTGAAAAAGAAATTCCAATGTACCCCATATTCTGTTACATGCTCTTGATAGTCTAACTGTTTCACAGAGAAATATCTGATAAGTCCAAGGGAAACTAAAACTGAAAAAAATTTTGAGTTGCCTTTGACTATAGACATGCAACTTTCTTTACTTACATCTTTATGCACAAGGCCACTCATGAGAACAAATAAGCCCCCACCAATATCCATGAGGCTGTAGCCATATTTTTCAGTTTTAGCTAAATACCTTGGAAAATCTTGAAAGTCAACTGCCAAAATGCAGAATACTGTAATAAGGTATGTAAGGGCCCTTATATATGTTATTGACTGAATTTTTATGAATTCAAACTTATTATTGCTAGAAAATGCTCTAAAAATATCTTGTATGCTATATGTCTTGAATAATTCAAATAATATAATGGAAAATACCAAAAAATTAAGAACATATAAATAGTTGGCAAAAACAGTATGGACTAATATCATAGATAGTACAATAATTATGTATTCGGTTATATATCGTTCCAGCCCGGTATTCATTGGAAGAATGGAACAAAGAAGTGAAGCTAGAACGGTAAAAAACACACAGAAGAATGTATGCAGCGCTGTAGTTCCATGGTTGTTTGCCATAAAGGACTCATGATATTTCTTGTATAATGTAGCATTCATCTTTGTAATATTTTAGAAAATGCTCACAACATTTCAAAAATATAGGGCATCAATAAAAAAATATAGCACTATATGTACTTCATATATTGTAAGATTTAAATTTAAATATTGTAAACCACTTAAATACTGTCTTCTTATTTCAAAGACTACTACAACTATCGACTACTACAATTTAGTTTACTGAAAATCGTTCATTTTTATTGTTGATGTTGCGTCAAACTTTAAACTTCAATTCAAATCAATCAACATGTCCGTCATGTCCACAGTAGCGATGGGCGTTGAATCAACGAACTAGTTGAATCAACCGTTGATCTCTTGTTAACGAATTAACTTTAATTTAACTGTCATTGAAATCAACTAGTTGAATTTGTTAACGTCGTTTCGGAAATTTTGTCGTTGATTCAATTCGTTTAAAAACGCAGTCAACGATACGTTAAGTCAACGGAACATAAGCGTAACGAATTGAAAACCTTACGTTGAAAAAAACGACACAGAGTTGAGTTGAAATGTTTGTTTAATTTTATGAAGGACATGTTTAAGTTCGCTTTCTTTATTTTTGTTTGACAGTTTGTGAATAATTGCGCGCAAGGTTATAGAATATTTTGCGGCTTTGCGTAAATATTATCAGAACTTTATTCATGCTTAGTGTTTTTTTTTTGTGAATTCGTTAATTTTTAATTAATTATATTTGGAATTTTATTTTATGTTATTAGTTTTGTTTATCAGAATTTTACTTTGTGGTTAGTGTTTTTTTATTTTAATTTATGATTATTTAAGTGTATAGAGGACTGTGGGTACAAAATTCAAAATAATTGAACGTATTAACAGTGAGTTATGGCTTCATACCTAAAAAGACAGTTCTAGCGGAAAAGCTGTTTGTAATTTATGCAAGGAGAAAATATCGAACAAATTGACCACTTTAACTTTAAAAAGTAAGTAATATTTTCATCAGTGTTTTAGTACCAATCTTTAAACACCAGCGTATGATGGTTGATTTTGATAAGAAAAAAATTAGTTTTGAACAAAAGAAAAAAAATAATTCAGATTTGTTAGATTTATGCATAGATGGTTTTCATCCTTTTTCCCTAGTAGAAGAAAGGGCTTGCAA